AACTCTTAGCAACCCTATGTACAACAGAACCAAACAATGCACTGGTCCTGTACTATCTTCAAAATTGCTGCTATGTTTGAGCCCATTGTTGCAGCCACTGTGTCAATCTATCTCGTTGAGGGTCTTCCCGTTTTTCGCTGACCCTCTCCTTTACCATGAGTGACGTCCTTCTCCAGGGACTGGTCCCTCCTGATAACATGCGCAAAATATGTAAGATGTAGTCTCGCCATCCTTGCTTCTAAGGAGCATTCTGGCTGTACTTCTTCCAAGAGAGAGTTGTTGATTCTTCTGGCAATCCATTGTATATTCAATATTCTTTGCCAACATCATAATTCAAAGGCAGCAATTCTTCTTCGATCTTCCTTATTCATTGTCCAGCTTTCGCATGCATATTAGGTGTTCCTTAGTCCTCAAAGCCTGGGGAAGGGGGAGGTAAACAAAAAATATATACATAATAATAAGTAAAATAATTAATAATATATAATAATATATCATTATGATCTAAATTATACTATTTTATAATCATATTATTATGCAATTGCTTATAAATTTATTAATATAAACAATTATAATTAATAAAAAATAATTAAAGCAGAATGTGCTTTGTATCGTGAAGGAAATAAACAGGGAGCTGTAACAGGGACAACATAGATGGGGAACTTACTGTTTTAGGATCTCCAGGATTAGAGGGTTCTCCCCTTTTTGGGATTCTTTTAGATGGCCATGACACAGAAGTGACAGGAAATCAAGACACTGACTAGTTAGAGACTTCACTCCACAGCATCAAGCTTTGCCCTTGTGCTTCAGCCTTCTCTCTCAACGTGGGATCCTGTGGCCTTTGGAGCAGTTGGTGTCTTCACAGGAGTGGCTCATTCCACACATGGGGCAGCCAGCAGAGTGGGTCACTGGGCACTTGTAGCTGTGGCCTGGAAGCCAGGCTGGAGAAGGGGAAGGTTTCAGGCCTCTTTCATTGTTTCATTCTGCCCAGTCACAGCCTTCTTTCACCTTATTTCAGACACTGATAAATGAGCTTTTCCTAAATCTTTATGAAATCTGTATGAAATAAATATATTTGCAAATGTTACCTGTTCTCCTTCCCCAGTCCAGATGGACAGTAAATGGTGCTTGATCAATTGGATATCTACTTGCAACAAAACGATTATTACCCTTACCATGCACCACACACAAAAATTAACTCAAAATGGATCGAAGACCTAACAAAACTAGAATGCTCAACTTATATAAGTATAAATCTTTATGAACTTAAGTTAGGGAAATAATTTGTAGATATGATTCCAAAACCACAATCCATAAAATAAATTGTACTTCATCAAAACTAATTTTTTTTGTGCTTCAAAAGACATCATTAAGAAAATGAAAACACAAGCTACAGACATGAAGAAAACATTTGCAAATCATGTATCTGACAAAGGACTTGTATCCAGAATATATAAAGAACTCTTTAAATGCAACAATAAGAAGACAACCCAATTAAAAATGGGCAAAAGATTAGAACAGAAATTTCACTAAGGAAGACTATACAAATGTCTAGCTAACAAGCACATGAAAGGATGCTCAACATCATTAATCTTTAGGGAAATGCAAATCAAAACCATAACGAGATACCACTTCATACCAACTAGGATGGCTATACTTAAAAAGATAGACAATAACAAGTGTTGACAAGGATATAGAGAAACTGAAACCCTTACACATTTCTGGTGGAAATGTAAAATGGTACTCCCGCTTTGGAAAATAGTTTGGAAGTTTTAAAAAAGTTAAACATACATTTACTACACAAATGAGCAATTCCTAGGTATCTATCCAAGGTAATGAAAATGTATGTCCCCACAGAGACCTGTAAGCAAAGGTTCATAGCAGCATTATTTATAATAGCCAAAAAGTGGAAATAATCCAAATGTCAATCTACTGGTGAATGAATAAATAAAATGTGGTATACCCATATAATGGGATACTTCTCACCAGTTAAAAGGAACTAACTACTGATACTTGCTACAACAAGAACCTCAAAAACACTGTGCTAACAGAGGAAGAAGAAGACCCAGAAAACAGAGAAGGAAATAGACTGAGGGTCTAATTGCATCCATGAACTACCATCTACTTTGCCATGAGACTAGAAGAAATGGATGGTGCCCAGCTACCATTACTGAACGTTTTGATCAAGGATCCAATAGGTGGATCCTGATCAAAAGGAGGAAAAATGTGGAACAGAACTTCAAATTCTTGTGGAAATCAGACTTACTGGATCCATTAAGACTGGGTGAACCCCTGAATCTCCTGCCTGGAAACAATTTTTAAACCTTGAACTGAACCTATCCCATGAAGTCATTTTTAAACTAAACAACAGTTTAACTCAATAAAGAATATTTGCCTTGAGTATTTTGCTCGTTTAAAGAATTATCTGTATGAGACCAAACTGACAACAGTAACCCTAAAGCACAATGAGAACTTTAAGGGGCAGAGACTCTAAGTCAACAGTGGTAAAACAATATGGGTAAAGACAGTGAGAATGGTGACACAATGTGAAGTATGTAACTTTTGTCATTGAAGTGCACATGTAAAAGCTGTTAATGGGTGTATGTTTTGTTGTATATATTTTCACACAAAAAAAATTAAAAACTAAACAAAACCAAAACATTATGCTAAGACAAAGAAGCCAGACACAAAAGATCACATAGTGTATGTATTTATGTAACACATTTATATAACATGTTCAGATGAAGCAAATCTATAGAGACAGAAAGTAGATTAATGATTGCCTGGAGTGGGATTGACTGCAAATGTGAATAAGGGATCTCTGATGGAAATGTTCTAAAACTGGATTGTGAAGATGTTTGGACAACTGTATAAATTTGCTAAAAATCATTGAATCTTACATGTAAAATGTGTGAAATTTATGGTATGTAACTTGTACCTCAATAAAACTGCTTTAAAAAGCTAGGTTAATAATATTTTAAGAAAAGGGCCACATAAACCAGAGACTCCATCAGCCTGAGACCAGAACTAGATGGTGCCTGGCTACCACCAATGACTGCCCTGACAGGGAACACAACAGAGAGTCCCTGACAGAGCAAGAGAGAAGTGGGGTGCAAAACTCAAATCCACGTAAAAGACCAGACTTAATGGTCTGACTGAGACTAAAGGAATGCAGAAGACATGGCCCCCGGACTCTCTGTTAACCAAGAACTAAAACCATTCCCGAGGCCAACTCTTCAGACAAATATTAGACTGGACTATAAGACATTAAATGATACTCAGGAAGAGTGTGCTTCTTAGTTTAAGTAGATACACGAGACTGAATGGGCAGCTCCTGTCTGGAGGTGAGATGAGAAGGTAGAAAGGGACAGGAGCTGGTTGAATGGACACAGGAAATCCGGGGTAGAAAGTGGGAGTGTACTATCACACTATAGGGATAGCAACTAGGGCCACATAACAATGTGCGTATAAATTTTAATATGAGAAACTAACTTGAACTGTAAACTTGCACCTAAAGCACAATAAAAAAAATAAAAATATTTCAAGAGAGGTCCCATGTACCCACCATCCAGTTTCATTTAATGGTACCATCTTATGTAACTATAGTACATTATCAAAACCAGAAAACTGACATTGGCACAATACAATTAACTAAAGTACAGACCTTAGATTTTTTTGGTAAATTGTTTTAAAAGCTATAAAGTATTGAGTGCAGACTTCCACTAGTTAATATGAACAATTTTAGTGTCCTCATCCCACTGAAAGAAAATTTTTTTTAATTACATGATTTCTGACTTTTTTTTTCTGAAATTTTAAAAACAACTCAGAGTTTTTCATTTTGTTTTCTAATATCTCCCACAAGGCTAGGACTGAATTAAGGATGTGGCAGTGAAGATAAACAGAAGCACCTGGTTTGGAGATAGAATTAAATGGATTTAAAAATGGATTTGAATGTCATAAGAGAGAGAGAGAAATCAAAGATAATGCACGGGTTTCTGGCTTCAGCAACTGGGTGAATAGTGAGACCAATTTATTGAGATAGGGAAGTCTTGGGAAAGGACTAGTTTATAGAGAAAATCATGAGTTCAGACTCAGGCTTGTTCAGTGTGAGATATCTTTGAGACATGTATGTAGAGGTCCAATAGGCTGTCAGATACGGAATCTAGAGAGCAGAGGAGGTCTGAGCTGAAGTTAGATATCTGGGGAGGGGCATTAGCACAAGGGTTTCATTTTACTTGGGTCCACAATCAACACCCATGGAAGCAGCAGTCAAGAAATCGAACAACACATTGCACTGGGCAAATCTGCTGCAAAAGATCTCTTTAAAGTGTTGGAAAGCAAAGATGTCACATTGAAGACTAAGGTGCGTCTGACCCAAGCCATGGTGTTTTCAATTGCCTCCTATGCATGTGAGAGGTGAATGATGAATAAGGAAGACCGAAGAAGAATTGATACCTTTGAACTGTGGTGTTGGTGAAGAATACTGAATATACAATGGACTGCCAAAAGAACAAACAAATCTGTCTTGAAAGAAGTACAACCAGAATGCTCTTTAGAAGCAAGGATGGCGAGACTACATCTCACATGCTTTGGACATATTATCAGGAGGGATTAGTCCCTGGAGAAGGATGTCATGCTTGGTAAAGTAGAGGGTCAGTGAAAAAGAGGAAAACCTCAACGAGATGGTTTGACACAGTGGCTGCAACAATGGGCTCAAGCATAACAATGATTGTGAGGATGGCTCAGGACCAGGCAGTGTTTCATTCCATTATATATAGGGTCATTATGAGTCAGAACCGACTAGGTGGCACCTAACAACAAAACATCAGCACATAAATAGTATTTAAAGCTCCCTTGAAACCCCTACCCATTTATTTCATAAATATTTATTAGATGATTCTAAGTCTTAGGGATGCTGAGGTAAAGAAGAGAGACAAGGTGAGTCCCTATCTTTGTAGAACTTACATTCAGTGGAGGCAGCTTGTGTATTAAAGAAAGATAGGATGGTGGCTTTGTCTAGACAGGCTAAAGGTGGGAAGTCACAATGTGTACTTTGTGATGAGGTCTCTGATATAACTGGGCTGGCACAAAGGACCCCACTGACTGATAATCCTTCCACCTGCAGGGAGGATACAGGACACACCATGTTATCTCTTCTCTTGCAGCTTTCATCCCAGGCCCCTTTGAGGTGAGGATAGTGACGCAGGATATGAGGGCCTGGGAAGAGGTATGGTGTGGAGGGTTGGGGAGACACAAAAGTCAACAGGAGAAAAATATTCTGGAGGTGTCTGTGGCCTCAGCCCCTCATCCTTCCCATTTCCAGGTAAAGGAGCCAGCCTGCTGCCAGCCACAAGCTGTGGCCTAGGCCAGTCATGAGGTGTTGGTGGCAGATTTTTGTCCTCTGGGTCTTCTGGGTGCTCATCCTATGGCTGGTGGCCCCCTGCCTAGATCTAACACCTGAACCAGAACCCCAGGAAGAACTGATGTACCTGGTAACATGGCATTGCTCTTGTCCTTGGTTCAAATTCAGGAAATATGGCTGCTCTTCTGGGACCCTCAACTGCTCCTCTTGCCACCACACAGCTGGAGAGTCAAATTGGTTTAATGCATGCTACAAGAGGACTGTGGAGTTCCTGAGGGGGACAAAAGAGTCCATGACCCCTGATGCAAAGCTCTGGTGGTTGGTCAGTGACCAGCATTGGGCCCATTCCCATCTCTTATCTTTCCCAGGACCAGCTCATCTCCCATCTCACAGCTCCAACCCCTGACCTCCACCCCTGGCCCCAAGCTGCTCTCACCAACCCAGGTTCTTCCTTTCACTGAGAGCTGATACCTGGGCCCCAGCCCCCTGTCTCCTCTCTCTTGCTGTTTCTAGGGCCTGAACTCAGAGAGCAAGCTTACAAAAATGTGGAAGAAGCTGCTTACAGTGATTCCCACACCCTCAGGGAGTCATTTTGATCTGTACTGCAGGACTTGTGTGGTGATGGGGAGCTCGCAGATCTTGTGGGGCTCCGGCCACAGCATCAACCAACATACCAAGGTCTTCAGGTGGGTGCTGAGCAGAGGGCAGGGAGCAGGAAGGCCAGGCATCCTTCCCTACCCCCAGTTCTGTCAGCTTCTTCTCTCCTTCCCAGGAGGAACCAGGCTCCTGTCTGGGACTTTGAGATGAATGTGGGGAACCGAACCACAGGGCGCTTCAACTATCCCATGAATGCTGGTGACCAGAGTGCCCGGAGCTGGCTGGTGCTGCTGTTGCTGAAGCTGTCTGATCTGGCATGGACTTCAGACATCCTGAGTGAGGAAGTGGTGGTCTGGGAATTCAGAAATTGTTGGTATGGGGGTGAGGGGAGTTCATCCCAGGGAAAGACAGTGAGAGCTCCAGGGAGACCTTCTGCTGGCTTACTGGGGGCACCTCCAGGATTTTCCCAGGCCTTGGGGGCTGCTGAAACTTTTCCATCTCCCATTTTTTTCTTAGATTTAAGAAGATTCCAGTTCCCTAGTGGAGTGGAAGACCACAAAAGCAAGGTGAGGGGAAAGGGGGAAGAAGTAGGATGTAGCCCCAGGTCAGTCCTCTCCCTTTTCTTCCCCAATTCCTGGTGATTAGCGTCACCTCCCTCAAGTACACCCAGGGCAACTGGCTGGACAACCAGGGTCAGAATCCATCCTTGGGGCTCATGGCTCTGTTCTATGCCTTTCACACCATGACCAAGTAAGAAAGATTCATGTCCCTTCCTCACTTAAAACTTCTGTCCCCCAATGCCTTCAGCATAGAGTCTAAAAATTTCTACCTGACTTTCAAAACTCTGCATCATCTGGCTCCTCCCCTCACTTGCTGTCTTCTAGGTTCACACACTAGGCTTCTTGGGGTTCCCCAAACACAACAGCTGCCTCATGCCTTCTCATATGGTGTTCCCTTTGCCTGGAATACCCTTCCTTCATCTCCCAGAAGGATCCCCTCTCTTCCTCCAATATGAACAGGAGCAGCTAGTTGAAACTGTTTCTCTTTAATTTTATCCTGGTAAAATATATACAGTATGACAAAAAATTTGCCATTTTCAACTGTATATATAATTCAGCAACATTAATTACATTCACGTTGTGCAGCCATGACTACTATCTGTTTCCAAAAGTTTTTAATCACCCTAAACAGAAAGTTGATTCTCTCTTTTCTGGCCTCTGGGGTCACTTTGTGTGTGTTTATCTCACTGTGTCCAGTGTCTGTTTTCCCTGGAGGTGAGCAACATTCTCCATCCTGGCTCCAGGAGGCAGCCTGGCACACTAGACGTTGAGTAAGGGGAAATGGGAGCAAAGACAGATTCAGCCTGGTAACCCACACACTCTCTCTCATCCACCAGGTCACCTTCTTTGGGTTTGGGTCAGAAAAACAAGGAAAGCGACCTCATTACTGGAAGGATGATCATCAGACCAATGGCTCCAGGGCGATACTGTCCATGCACAGCGCAGAAGCAGGAATGGAGGCTGTCCATCAGTTAAGAGTGTGAGGGCAAGCTCACTGCCCACATGTCCACTGAAAGCCCTAGTCCTTTGGGCCTGAATGCAAGGGAGACTCAGAATGGCAGTAGCAGCAGCAGCAGGACTGTGAGGGCTTTTAGGGGTGAAGGGCAAGAGGAAATTGTATGGAGATCAGTCTGGTACTGAATAAAGTTCTGGCTTGATTCTCTTACCAGAAAGCACTGGTAGCAGGTGAACAAGGGCCAGACTTGATTTCCAAATCTCAAGGTCAATATTTACATTAAATTCTCTGCCTGATCCCTTGATTCACGCAGAGGGAGTAAATTTAGACCCAATTCCATGCAAAGTGCGAGCTAAGACCTCGAGTTCTTGGGGGAGGCTTTTCTTTTTTTTGCCACTCAGAGAAAAGAGACGAAGCTCCTTATCGCACCCTATACTGGAGGGTAGATTTTTTTCTAGTTCAGCCTTTCTCTGAAGGTTCAGCTGTTTGAGGTTCCCAGTTCTTTGTAGGGGCCTCAGTTCCAATTCTCTGCCTCCCCTGGGCTCAAGGCCCTGTGCCCATATGGACATTAAACAAACAAACAAAAAAAACCAACTCAAACCCACTGCCGTGGAGTCTGACTCATAGTGACCCTATAGGACAAAGGAGAACTGCCCCATAGGGTTTCTAAGGCTGTAATCTTTACGGGAGCAGACAGCCGTATCTTTCTCCTGCAGAGCAGCTGGTGGGTTTGAACCGCCGACTTTTTCAGTTAGCAGCTGAGTGCTTAACCATTGCGCCACCAGGGCTCCCTACATGAGCATTAAAACCCCTGAATTCCTGGGCCACCGCACACGCCGCTCAAACACGACCCAGCCTGTTTTTTCAGTTCTCTCTTCTTTTTGGCATCTGGGGACTTCCTGTTTTTCTTCCGATCTGCATTTAAAATAATTTTTATTAAAACTATATATGTATATATATGCTTGTAAATTTTCTGATTACCTCAGGAAGGATACACAAGACATTAGGAATGATAGTTGCCTGTGGAGAGGAGATTGGAGATTGGGTAGTTGGAGAACAAGGATAGGATGGATACTTTCTTTTCATTTACTTTTAGTACTTTCTGGATTATGCACAGACCCATATGATCCGTTTGAAAATAAATACAGATAAAAATTTTTAAACATACTGGTCCAGTAGTTCTGGGTGTTTATAGCGGGAAGGCTTTCAGGATATCTTTTGTGTGTCTGTGGTAAATATGTAACAAAACATTTGCCATTTCAACATTTTTTACATGTACAATTCAGTGACATTATGTTCATCATGTTGTGCAACCATCACCACTATCCGTTTCCAGATTTTTCCATCACCCGTAACAGAAACTCAGTGCTCGCTAGGCAATGACTCCTGCTTTCCCCTTCCCTCCTGGCCCAGAAACTACTAAATTCTAGATCTTTTATATAAGTGGGATCATAAAATATTTGTCCTTTTGTGACTGACTTATTTCACTCAGCATAATGTTTTCAAGGTTCAGGTTATCTTTTAATTCATCACTTTGCTAGAACAGGAATAAAAGCTTAATCTTCATAGTTATCCTTTAGCACCATGAGCTAGCGGCTTCTGGTTGAGGCCGGTATGTGACAAGGCCAGTGAGTTCCATGGGCAGCAGCTCGATGCCTTATTTCTCTCCGTGAGCAGCATACCATGACAGGGGATCAGGCATCTATGACCACAGATCATGGTGCTGCCCAAAGCATTATGGGCAGGCAGAAACTCATTGCCGTCAAGTAAATTCTGACTCACAGCAACTCTATAGGACAGAGTAGAAATGCCCCATAGGGTTTCAAGGAGCGGCAGGTAAATTCGAACTGCCAACCTTTTGGTTAGCAGCTGAGCGCTTAACCACTGTTTCCTCTGAGAATGGTACCATATCAGGAACTTGGGGGAGGGGAGAAGGGAGACTGCTGCTGGGAAAAGTGGGGCGGGGAGGGAGGGAGTTTAGAATGACAACAGAAAGGTCAGTCTGGGTGAGGGGAGGTCCATGTTGTTAAGTTCAATATAGCCTCCATTCTGGCCACTTTGAACATATGATCAAACATTTTTTTCCCCAGTTTTAGATATTATCTGTTGGTTCCTACTATGGAAGATTTACATCATTCTTCCAATTCTCCCCCTTCCTAGCCTCCAAAAATAGTTGTATAACCATTTTGGTTAGGTTCACAATTGACTTTAAAAATTGCTTAGCCTCCTATGTACCTATCACTAATTCTTTCTCAATCTTTGACAGATCTGCAAAATCTCCTCTCAATATGATCAAACACATCAAATTAATCAGTATCATTATTTTTTGAGACATTAGTCCTGGAGCCCTCTGTCCTCATTCTCTTTAGTCAGACACAAAAGATGACATACTGGAAAACTTCATTAATATGAAGCTCGAAACCAGGCAAAACTAAACTAGGTGATGTCAGATACCTTTGGGTGGAATTAACCAGGAGGGGTTATGAAAGAGGCTTTTGGAGTGCTGGTAATGTTTTATATCTTGATTGGGTGGTAATTATGCAGGTATATACCTTTGTAAAATTTCTATTTGTACACCTTATATTTGTGCTATATGTCAATATGAATTTTAAAAATTTTATATGTTATATATGACTTCTGTGAATAAGATAGGGACTCTTCAATACATGAAACTGGAAAAAAATGATTATCTGTATGGAAAAGATAAAATTGGATTCCTACCAAATATATGAAAAAATCAATCCCAGGTGGACTAAGAACTTAAATGTCAAAAACAAAACTAGGAAACTCTAGTAGAAAATATACATAAATATCTTTTAGGCCTTGGGGTAGGAAAAGATTGCTTAAAAAGAACACAAAAAGCATTGATTATAAAATTTGACTATATTAAATGTAAGAACTTTGTTCATCCAAAGACATCTTTAAGAATGTTTAAAAAATTTTAAAATTCAGAGACTTGCTATACAGAAAACTGATAAAAGTTAGCATCAATACTACATAAAGAATCTGAGACAAGAAGAGTGAAAACAACCCATTAGAAAAATGGGCAAAAGACAAACAGACATTTACAAAGGAAATAAATGCATATGGCCAATAAATATTTGATGAACATTACTGGTGATCAGGGAAATTCATATCAAGACCACAAAAGAGATACCATTTTCCATCCTAATTTTCAATAGGCAAATTGTTAAAAGTCTAACTATATCAAGTAATGGGGAGGATGTGGAGCCACAGATCTCTTAAACATTGGTGCAAACACCAACGGCAAAAAATGTGAAAAAAGGTGAACATTCACAAACTCTCTGACCCAGAAATTATATTCCTAGGTATACACAGAAAACTTCTATATGTATAACAAGAGACATGCATAATAATATTCTTAGCAGCACTGTTTCCAGTGACAAAAAACTGAAAATAACCCTTAAATTCATCATCGCAAGCACACTTTGTTTTTAAGGACTCTTTCTTGTTGTCTGAATGTTCCTTCTTTAAATGCACTCCTGTTCACATTTCATGGATCCCAATCTTCTCTCAGCTCCTGATAATATAATTTTTGAGATATTCTGCCCTATGTTGTCTTTATTTCCTCTGAGTTCCTTTCCTCTGTATATTTTGGCCTCTAGTTAGCTTTTCTCAAATGTCTTATCTTTTGCTTTCCTTTTAAGAGTGAGACACTATTTCAATTATCTACTGCTGTTTAATAAACTACCCCCAAACTTAGTCACTTAAAACAAAAACAATCCTGACTAAATGGGCAGCTTCTGTCTGGACGTGAGATGAGAGGGCAGAGAGGGTTAGGAGCTGGCTGAATGGACATGGGGAATCAGGGGTGGAAAGGAGGAGTGTGCTGCCACAGTATAGGGAGAGCAATTAGGGTCACGTAACAATGTATGTATAAATTTTTGTTTGAGAGGCTAACTTGAATTGTAAACTTTCACTTAAACTACAACAATAAAACAAAAAATCCTTTATGATTTTACAATTTGGGTAGGGCTCAGTGGGGACAACACTCTGTTCCACATGGGATGGCCACTTTCAAGATGGCTCACTCACATAGCTGGCAAGTTGATTCACCAGCCGGGGAGGTGGGGGAGGGGGTATTCAGTAGGGATTATTGGCCGGGGACCTGGATTCTCCTGCATGTAGGTCTCTCCATGTGGCTGCTTGAGTTTTCTCATGGCAAATGGGTTCCAAGGAGCATTCCAAGAGGAAGGAAATGGAAGCTGCCAGTCCTCTTACCGGGGAGATGTCCAAATGTCAGCATGTTTAGGTTTTTCCTTTGGGTGAGTTTCCTCAGAGAGGGAATCTCTTGCCTGAGGGCTTATTTACCTTGGTGACAATTCTCAAAAAGGAAAGGAAGTCAACCCCTGAGAGGTTTTAAGGGTTGAATGTGACAAATATTCACTTTCATCAAAATCATAAATTCTCTGACCCAGGAGGTTGCAAGTGACCCTTCCTTTCCCTTCTCTGCCACCTGCTCATCCATATCAGCCTTGGCACCATATCCTCTACTTTCTCACCCTTCTGTCTCCTTCAACACTTGACTTCCAAGCCTCCCTTGTTAGCTGGGCTCTGGGCTGAATGCCAAAGTGGAGGGCCTTGCCCATAAGCTTATATGGAGGAGGTCACAACGTGGCCTCTGTGATGAGGTCCCTGATATAATTGGGCTGGCACAAAAGTCCCCATTGGGCATCACCTTCCTCCCGGAGGCCACAGGACACGCCAACTGTTAACATCTCCCCTTCTTTCAGCCTCCAGCTGAACTCTGCCTCCTTGGCAGAGTTCCGTTTAGTGGTTAGCAGGTGAATAGAGGCAAGAGGTGAGATGTTGGGAGGAGGTAAGGTGTGTTTTGTGTGTGTCGGGGGTGGGGCTGGGGAGGGATAGAAGCAATCAAGACAGGGGGTACTTGGGATGTTTGTGGCCCCAATCCCTCATTCTCCCCAGTGCCAGGTGTCAAAGCCAATCTACTGCCTGCCAGGAAACGATCATTTGGGGCCAGAGATGAGGGTTGAATACTCAAAGCTGGGTCTGGTGGCTACCTGTATGCTTTCATTGTGGCTAATGGCCTCCTTCCTGGACCAGAAGTTCAGCCAGAAGAATCTCCGTGAGATGGCCAGAACACTCCCAAAGAACTGCCACTGCCCCAGGATCTCTTCCAGAAAGTGTGGCTGCCCACATGGGGCCCTCAAGTGCTCCACCTACCTCCATATACCTGGCCAGTCTGACTGGTTTGACAAACGCTTCAAAAAGGCCATTGACCCCCTGCAGAGGTCAGAAACGCCCATGTCCTCTGATGCTCTGATATTATGGATGGTCGGTACATAACTTGCGCCTCTGTCCCGCTCTTGTCCCCTTCCCCAGGCACTGCTCATCTCCCTGTTCATGGCTCCAGGCTCTAACCTTCTTCCACAAGTAGCCGGAGCCTAAACTAAGCTCTTAATTTCCTCCTTTCTATGCTCCTAGAGACTTCAGGGTAAGCCAGAGATGGAGTTAAATACGAAGCAGCAGCAGCAGCAGCAGCAGACTACAGTGTCTCCTTGCCGGACCTGCTCAGTGGTGGGGAACTCATTGTTTCTACGAGGCTCTGGCTTAGGCTTCAGGATTAACCAACATGATGTGGTGCTCAGGTGGGTGCAGGGTAGGAGGTGGAGACCAGGAAGATCAAGCCAAATCCTCCTCCTTCCCCATATGACTACCCTGCCCTTCTTTCCAAGGATAAGCCAGGCCTCTGTCCAGGGTTTTGAGATGGATGTGGGGAACACAACAACCATGTGCATTATGTACCCCGAGGATGTCAGCATTCAAGATCCTGGCACCCAACTTCTGGTGCTTCCAATGAATTCATCTGGCCTGCAGTGGTTCATGAATACACTGGATGACGAGAACGTCACCTGGAAGCCAAAACATCCAGGGTATGGCAGTGAACGAGGCCATTGTAGGGGGTGACAGCAGGAGACTCCAGGGAGACCCTTGCTAGATATTGGATTGCCTAAGCTTGGGGGGCTGCTGTGTCAGGTGACTCTGAAACGCCTGCACCCTCAATTCCTTTTTAGATTTCAGACAGTCCAGTTCCCTGGTGGAAACAAAAAGAGCAAAGACAAGGTGAGTCACCCAGAAGGGGAAAAGTAAAGGAGCAGGATGTGGCCGTGGGCGGGTCATGGGACAAGCCTTAGGTCAGCCCCCTCCCCTTTCTTCCCCAGGTCTTGGTGATCAGCTTCACCTTCCTCAAGTACATCCAAGAAAATTGGCTGAAAAAACAGAGTCAGTATCCATCCTTGGGGTTCGTGGCTCTGTTCTATGCCTTGCATACCTGTGACCAGGTAAGACATCTTCTGCAACTCACAGGACTTCATCACTCTACCACTAAAAATTTCTGTCTTCCCAGGGACTTCAGGTTAAAGTCTCTAAAGATTTCTGCTTGGCTTTCAAGATCATACATCTGGTTCCTCCCCTCATCTGCTCTTACAGGCTCACACACTGGGCTTCTTGGGGTTCCTAAAACACAACAGCTGCCTCATGCCTTCTCACATGCTGTTCCCTCTGCCTGGAATGCCCTTCCCTTGTCTCCCTGGGGAATCTTCTCTTTTCCTTCAACATGATCAGAAGCAACTAGTTGATACTCTCTTCTGGGCTCTGGGGTCACTCTGTGGATGTATTCATCTCACCATGTCCAGTATTTATCTTCCATGGAGAAGGTGAATTTGATTCTCCCTCTCAGCTCAAGAAGGTGGCCTGTCACCCTAGATGTTGAGTGGATGCTTGCTGAATGAATGGCTGGCAGTCATGGGGACAGGGCAGGATCCAACCTGCCACCCCATGCCCATCTCATATCTTATCTCATCTCCAGGTCTCCTTGTTTGGTTTTGGAACAGACAATCTCAAAAGGTGGTCTCATTACTGGAATGATAAACATTGGTTCATGAACACCATGCACAATCTCAAGGCAGAGTACAATGTCATTCATCGGCTGCACTGCGAGGGAGATTGCTGTCTACAACTGAGATTGTCCCCAACCTGTTCAGCCCACTGGAGGCCACAGCAGGCTGACAACTAGTCAAGGGGGACTTGGAATGTCAAGAGGGGACTGGGCTTCAAGTGGACCCTGGATGGAGATCACTTTGCTACTGAATAAAACTCTAGCTTGTTTTTCTCACTGGAGTCCTGGTGGCATTAAAGGGCTATATTCTATTCCAGATTCTCAACAGCAAATGTATCACCATGTCAAAAAAACCCAGGAGTCCAATATCACTTCCGTTATTTCTCTGGAATATGTTTTTCTAATTTCAAAATCAACCAGGATTTCAGACTTAAGGGGGCATAGTGTGCACATGTGTTTATAAACTCTTCTTAACCTTAGAGACCTCAATGAAATGATAGGCCATGTCCTGCTTCTTTGAAGAAAACTGTTCTCCTCTCTTACATTTTGAGGAAGTTGCCAACTATAGGTCTTAAGCCTGTGGGATGGGCTCAGTCCAGACTGCCTTCACCACTGCCAGTGCGTAAGTGACAAGTTCTGCCACAGTTCATCCTCTTGACTGGCTTGACATGTGGTTGAACTACAGGGGAACCAGAGTCAGTTCCAGCTGATATGCCCAGGAAGGGACACCTCAGTGGCATTCACCCAGAGTAGAAGAGGAATGAGGCCAGAAGAAGACTCTGAATACCAGACTCTGACTTTAGCCAAAGGTCATCTCGGTGCTTTTGAGGCCCCAGAACTTGTTTTAAGGAAAGAACTTTTGATGTTTCCTCATAACTCATGAGTTCAAGTCTAGGTTCCAGGCCCTCCATAATCCCCCCACACATCCAACCTCAGCCCAACAGAAACACTGCACAAACAGACCAGTATTCTCCAATATGCTTAGCCACCTCTCCTAACTCCTCTCCATCCCTCAAGGGCCACTTTATGCCTCTCTTCCCCAGTCCCTTGGGATTTCTATAGCACCTGTAGTCAGTGCACAGAATTGTCTCTGACTCGTTAATGAGCATTAGTCCATTATTATCAATCAGACTGCAAGCTCTCTGTGGATAGGGGCTTTGTCTTGTGTTTCTTTTGTAACTCTTCTCTAGCAGGACACATGACATCCAAATATTCATGCCACGTGACAGGAATCTTTGGCAAATTCTTCCTCAATAAGTGCCCTTGATGTGCCTCTGCTGCCCAGCTGCATGAGTAGAGAGGAGCAGCAAACAAATGCAAAGACAAGGGTTTATTGTTGAAGGGGAAGGGGAAGGAGAGGGTGGAGTGCTGGGATAATAAATTCTAGGTGAAAGGCAGGGCAAGGCACGCCTCTGGGTGAAGGCTAGCAGGTGAATGTGATTCACCTCATTTCCATGTGATTTGTGGCTCTCCCCCAGACTTCCCCATCCCCCTTCCTGACAATGTCAGCTGGCCTGGGACTCCCAGGTTAGGCAACAGAACCAGACCCTTCCTTTGGCAAACCTGTTAGCTGTGTTGTTGGGCCATGACCCACTTGACAATCATCATCTGCCTAAGTGCTCCCAGGTTGGCCTATATCCTGCCCTGGCTGCGGCTGCTACCTGGGGGTGGCTTGGGCAGCACTAGGGCTGGGGCTGGGGCTGGGGTGTAGCAGGATTGGCCCCGGGGATGCCAGGCTTTGGGTCAGGGACTCGTCTAGCTTGCGGGTCTCGGCCTCCAGGACAGTGGCCTCCGGGGCCTGGGCCACAGCAAGCAGTGAGTGGGAGAGGTTCTGGTGCAGGCCTGCTAGCTCACGGCTGGTCTGCACTGAGCGAGCGATGTAGTCCTGCTTCTGCTTCCTCTCCAAGGCCAGCTGGGCTCGCAGCAGGGCCACCTGGTGGCAGAAGAACAAGGAGGGAAGAGCTGAGTGCCTCGAAGGTGCCCCAACTCTTCCTGCTCTGTGCTCCTGTGGCTCTTGTTGGGCCAGTATTTGAATCAATTCTACCACAGACACAAATCTCAGGGCCGGGCTTTACGGTGTTTGGGGGAAGGACCCCTAGGAACCATAGAGAATCCAGTGATTCTCAAACCAAGCTTTAAAAAAAAATAGCACAACTATTTTCATCAACTTTTAACCACTGTGCCACCAGGGCTTCTCTTACTGAGGGACAATTTACATGCAATAAAATACCCAGGTTTTAAGTATAGGTAGTCCCTGACTGACGACATATTCAAGTTATGACGAACTGCACTTATGTTGGAATACTACCTTGTCATAAGTCAGGGACTACCTGTATTACATAGAATGTTGTAGTGGTATGTATGTTTATATTAATGTTTCCAAGCCCCAAAGACAAGTAAAGATTAGATTTATAAAGACACTGATAATAAAAGGCAATAATAACGAAAACTTAAAAAAAAAAAAAAAAAGGAGCTATTTGACTTACATCAGAACCGACTTATGACAGTCGTCAGAATCGAACCCTGCAGTAAGTCGGGGACTACCTGTATACATTTTGATGAGTTTGATAATGTATATACCCATGTAACCACCATCTCAATCAAGATAGAAAACATTTTAATCACTGCAGAAAGTTCCATCATGCCCCTTTTGGGAGCTTTTAAAAACTATTCTGGCTTAATTAGACTGGGATGAGGCCTGGGCATCAGTATTTTTTCAAAGCTTCGCAGGTGGTTCTCAGGTGGTACAGCCAGGGTTGAGAATCACTGATTAACCCTTCCATTTTTCAGATGGGTATACTGAGACTACCAGAGGGTGAAGTTACTGGGACCTCAGAGCAGGTCTGGGACTAGGGTGAGGCAAGAGGCATCTACGGAGCAAAATGTAAGGAGACTTACCGGGTCGGGACTGAGTGTTCCTTAAATTTTACACCCAAGTTGCCTCTCTTGCTTCACCCTAGTCTTGGCCCTGTCTCAGGGATTGCTTTTCATGAGTTTAACAGAGTTCAAAGTAATAATTTAGGTCTAGCTGTACAGCCAAGGCCTGCCAGGACTGACTGTTGATTTCTGAACTAGGCTCAGAAATCAAGATTCCACAGTTCTAGTTTCCCCTGGGCCTTGACAGACAGGGTGAATGTTTAGGTGAGGCCTAAGAGGCAAGAAGACACTTTATACAGTTTCCCTGAGTGTGGCCACCTGACCTGGGCTATGAGGTGTGGATCATGGTCCTGGTGCCAGGCTACTCTGATGGTGTGCTGGCAACAGCCTAACCAGCAAGGGTGCATTTGGAGGCAGAGGAGGCCAGGATAATTCTACTTGTTTTAGTCTGCCCTTCTAGAAACTTCTGTCTGCTCCTCAGCCCTCTTCCTTTTCCTTTCCCTTCCCAAGTAGGTATCTGCAGGCCTGGGGCCTAGATCATGCTTTCTTCCCCAGTCCCAACCTCTGAGTTGGGACTAGGGCTCTTTTTGCCTCCCCACATAGACTGAAGTTCTCTGAAGGCAGGCACTATTTACCCTCCCCTGTGGAGGTGCACAAAGAGCCAAACACATGCAGACACTAAAGCCTTGTTGCCTGAGTGCAAGGGAGGGTAAAAAGGACTTAGACAATGGATCCTTCCAGAATGTACCTCTTTCTGCAGTTCAGCCATATGCTTGGCATCAGAGAAGCCCTTCTGTCCTCCTATTCCATCCTGTGGAAGACAAATACCATACCTATTGGAATAGGCTTTCCATCTCCAGTTTCTGCAGGCATCCACCAGCTATCTTGTCACAATTTTCGGGGCCTGGACAAGGGCTATGGGCCAGAAGTACCTGCAATCAGACTGAAGCTCTATGGGGCACGTGCCCCTAGGGCAAGGAGAGGCCCAGGAGGGCCTACGCCAGCCTAATGCGTAATGCCCATGGAGACCTGATGCTGAACATCCAAGAAGCTTGGGTGACATTTGCTTCTTTGAGGCGCTTCTTCATTTAAGAGATGTATACCATGCCTCTATTTTGTGCTAGTTCTGGGCTGTGAGCTAAGGAGGCAGAGGGGAAGTCAGACAAGGTGCTTGCCCTTGAGAAGCTCTCACTTAAAGGAAGGGGGTGGAGAGCTGGGAGATGTTCAGCCACCAGAAACAGTCCCTCCCTGCCAGCCTGCAGGGCTGTGGCTACTGACGGGCATACATCAGTGAAAAGAGTACTGGTTTGAGGGGTTTTTCCTGAACCCCTTACCCATAAAGGGGACTCTGGCCCTAGGAAATACCACAGACCCTGGTTTTATAAACTCAGTAATACAAGGGGCAAAGAGGTCTAAGAGGTCTGCAAAGCTGCCATCAAGCTCCTAGGCACATCAGGGGCTAGCAGGCACCACACAACACCTGTATATCAGGAACTCTAACTAGAAGCCCAGTGAGCCCTGCTCTCGGGGAGCCTAAGGCTCTGGTCGGGGTGGTTGGGAGGCAGATTAGATGTCAGTGAAAGCTTTCAGAGTCCCTCAGAAGGCAGGCCTGCTAGCCTTAACTCTACCCTCACCCACTGAAGCTGGGCCTCCTCCCTGGGTCTGGTCAGGAAGGGCTCTCTGGATTGGCTGAAGTGGCTGTGTCTCCTCCATGGGTAGCCTGGGGTACACAGCAGAGGGCTGAGTTTCTGGGTGGCTGGAGATGCTAACTAAAACCTCGGCAGTTCAAATCCATCACCTGCTCCCTGGAAACGCTATGGGGCAGTTCTACTCTGTCCTGTAGCATCACTATGAGTTGGAATCGACTCGACGGCAATGGGTTTTTGGTTTTGGGGGTTGGGCACTTGTGAGGTAGCAAACCTGCTGTGTTGGTAGTGGTGCTGTGGCTTGGCTGATCTCCAGGACTCCTGCCCGGGAAGCACGCATGGAGTCCCTCTTCAGCTTCCTTCGCTCCCGCTCCACCTGCCCAGACGTCAGTGAGAAATCAGGGCTTGGTTTGGCTCTGGGGCTGAAGCAGAGCTGTCTATCTCAAGAAAGGGGACCAGTGCATGGGGTGAGAGTGGCTGTGAGAGGACAGCAGCCACAGGAACCTAAACTGCTGGGCTGAGGAGAGCACCTGCTAGGGCAGCCCTGAGTGCAAAGAGTTGCTCCTGGGGTGGAGGTCCTCAAGGGGGAGGTCACTCTCTCAAGGTCAAGTGTGCAACAGTCGGCACGCTTCTACTGTAGTAAATATCTTAGGCTTTGTGGGCCAGACGATCTCTGTGCAACTATTCAACTCTGCTATTGTAGCAGGACAACAACCATAGACAACACATAAATGAATGGGCATAGCTGGATTCCAATAAAACTTTATTTTCAAAAACAAGCAGTGGCCTGGATTTGGCCTGTGGGCCGTAGTTTGCTGACTCTTGATCTAAAGGTTGCGAGAAGTGGAGATGCATGCCCACCCCTGAGGAGGGAGCTGGGGACAGCGGAAGTTGCTCACCTGTTCTAAGGTGGTCCGAAGCTGGACGTTGTGGCGCTGCAGCCTGCTCCGGTCAATCTCCAGCTGTGCCACTGCTTGCTGTAGGTGCTCAAGCCTTTGTCTCTGCTTCTCCTCTATCCCAGGACTAGGCTTAGCCTCCACTCCTGAGACCTGTGGGGAACCTGTGACTCTCACCTGGGCAGCCCCTCAGATAGGTGGGGAGCAGAGAGGACATAGGGAAAATCTGGCAGGTCTGGGCTTAAGGGATGCAACTCCCAAGGGAAGGGGATAAGCTCCTGGATAGGAGCTCCCTCCTGGGCCATCTGTTCCCACAGGGCCCTAGCTCACCACTCCTGGCTGTATAGTCTGCTCTCCTCTGGGCCCTGGCTCGGCTCTTCCGGCTGGGCCTGGGCTGTGTAGCCGTTCCTTCTCCAGAGCCTGTCTGGTGAGGTCCAACTCATCCTGGGTATCAAGGTGTGGAACAAAATCACACCGTGCCAATCTCATATCTAGGCCCCTCCTGCCCTCCATCCTTATAAAAGCCAGTTTACTCTTCTTATGAGGTTAGAATCTTATTTTTCCCAGGGCCTCTGAGCTATTCCAGTCCAGAACCTTCACTTCACAGATGGATAAAACAAAGATCAGAGAGGCATTTACCCAAAGGTACATGGTGAGCTAGTAAGTAAGCTAGGACTGGAAGCCCAGTCTGTTTAGATGTCCCATAACGCTAAGTGATAATTAAGTGCTCTGAGGTACTGTGGAGAGGGCATGGACTGTGGAGTCACACAGACCTGGGTGTTATGTCACCACTTACTGGCTAGGTGACCTCAGTGAAGACATGAGCTCTCGCCAAACCCCGACTTCCTTATTTGTAAAATGACTACATGCTCCATGAAGCACGGATCAAGTCTTAGGGGATTAAATTATTTGAATAAATGGAGAAACCTAATTTTATGTATTTTCTAGGCACCCTATGTTTCATAGATGGTAATGGACAAGAAAAGAGACAGACAAAAGAAAAATAAGTGTACGTGTGTGGGTGGATGCTGTTTGGGAGAGAAGAAGAGCTCAGTGGTTAAACAGGCTGGGTTCTGGAGTCAGGCTGCTGAAGTTTAATTCTAGTTCTACCATTTACCAGCTGTAAGGCCTTGGGTAAGTTACTTCTCTCAGTTTCCATTCCTCAACTGTAAAATGAGGCTAATACCAGTTCCTACTTTTCAGGGTTGTTGTGGAAGAAAGTGGCTGTACACAGTGGCTGGCATGTAAAATGCTTTAAAAAAAAAAAAAAAGGTACTACTATGATGAGGGGCTACATCTGAAAGACACCCTTGAATGCTTGGTGTGTGTGTGGGGGGTGCCACATTACTGAATGAACATTCACTACTCAGTAACCCAAAAGGGATAGGAAGTGCCCTATAAGAGGAGGTCTGGAAATAGGGTAGGTGTTCCACTTATTGATGGCTTCCTATGTCTCTAAGCTAAGCACTCTATATGTGTTATACTTCATACTCAGAACAACCCAATGGAGTTGGTGCTATCACATTCCTATTTTATAGATGAGAAAACCAGGGATCAGAGAAATGAACGCACTTACCCAGGGTCACACAGCTAATAAATTGCAGAACTGTAATTTCAAACCCAGGAACCCAGGAACTTGACTCCAAAGTTCATAAATTTAGTTCCTTCTCTAGACATTGCCCATTATCAAGAACAGAGCTTTGTGAGTTCCCAGAGAGTACCTGGGGGTTATGCGTCTGAGATGGGGGGGCCCTTTGGGGATCAGCCAAGGTCAAAGGACCAGGATATGAGTCAATTCCCCTGGAAAAATGCGCCGAGTTCCTCTTGACAAAAAAGGCAATGCCTATCTATGTCTATCAGTCATCCAAGCTTTCCCAATTGCCTACTCTGTACAGGTCTTGTGCTTAGTGCCGGGGTACAAAGATGACTAAGACATGGTCCCTGACCTTGAGGTTAAATGTTACACCCCAAGGTCCTATCCTAAGCCCATTTCCTTTCTCACTCAACGTTCTACCCAGAGGAACACATTTATTCCTAACTGCTGATGACTCCGAAGTCTGTCTCTAGACCAAAATCATCTTCGAACTCCAGACCATTTTTCAAATCTGCCTACTGGATGTCTTCCCTTGCACATACCACAGATGTCTCACTCCATTTCCAAACTGAACTCATCATCCTAGTCCTCTTTCCCAAACCTGCTTTTCCTCATCTCAGGGAACTGTACTATCCTCAAGCCAGCTAGTGCAGCCAGAAAGCTGGGTGTTGTCCTTGCCATCTTTTTGCCCTTTCTTTACTCCCCACAACCTCATGGCCAATCAATTGCCAGAAGTCCAATGAACCTCCTAAATCCACCCACGAGTCTCCATCCACACTCTTACTATCTTAGGTCACTACTGCGTCCCTGGACTTGTGTTACAGCCTCCTAGTTGGTCTCCCCAGATCTACTGTTGTCCCACACAGCAGTGGGAGTGAACCTTCTTCTGAATTGTGTATCTGATCATGTTGTCCCTGTCTCAAACCCTCCACCTGTTTCCCACTGGTCACCCAGGTTCCTCAGCATGACTTACAAGCCCTGAATGATGAGGCACCTGCTGTCCTTTCTTCTCTCGCCAACTCCCCCATCTATGTCCCAGGCAGCCTAAACCACCTATACAGACACTCCCTGCTCTCCCTCCTCCTTTTTCTTCTTGCCCAGAAAGCTCATCCCCCACGTGTGCTTGGCTAATTCCTTACTGGCTCCTTCAGATCTAATCTTAACTGCCACTTTTACCAGGACCCACCCCCAGGAGAGGTCAGGTGCCTTTCCAGCATACACACAGCATGCTGCACTTCCCTTCCCATCACACTGCATTATAACTGCTTATCTGCCAGACAGTAAACTCTGTTACGGCAGGACTAGCACAGTATCCAAGTTCCATTTATACTGCAGTGCCCCTGATCTCAGCCTTCTCATCCCTCTAAGGTGCCACGAGGCTCACAGTAGCAGCAGCCCTTGAGCTTGGCTAGATGGGTTCTCCCCACCGCCCTTACAATCCTGCAGTGACTTACCTGCAGCTTCTGCTGCTCTGAGTCCCGCTCCAGGACAGAGGATTGTAGAAACATGGCCACCTCCTGCAGACTGCTGATACTGGCCTTGCTCTGGGCCAGGGACAGTGCCAAGTCCTGGGCCTTCTCCCTCCACTCGATCTCCCTGGCCTCTGTCTGCTTCAGGGCTCCCTGTAGCCGCTCCAGTTCTTGCTGCATCTTGGATCCTAAAGAATCAAATGTTGGAGAGGACTTCTCCACTGGGGAGGCTTTGTGGCTTTGGGGTGAATCCTTCGGGTTCCTTCTTTGCTGGGCTTCTCTCAGCTCCAAGATCTCCTCTTCCTTTTGGGCTAGCGTCAGCTGGAGCTCCCTTAGATTCTCACGAAGCTCCCTCATCTCTTCCTTCCCCTGCCCTCCCTGGATCACATCCTCTCCCTCCCTCTGGGCCAGAAACGTCTCAAGCAGCCGCCCCTGTTCCTTCTGATGTCTCAGCTCTTCATCTCTCTGGGCAAGTGCCTGCTGGAGCTGCTGCATGGCCTCCTGGTGTCGGAGATCCTGGTCCTGGATCTCACCTTCCCGCATCCTCAGGGCCTCCTCCAGCTGCCGGGTTTGCACTTGGCAGAAGTCCAGTGTAGCCTGCAGGGTGGCAGTGCTGGCCTCCAGGCTGCGGTTCAACTCTGTCTGCCCAAGAAGATGCTGCTCTTTCTCCTGCAGGGCAGCCTGTGCCTTGCTGAGGGCCTCCTGGAGGGCCTCCGCCTGGTCCCGGGCAGCCTCCTCCCGATGCTGGCAGGACTGGTTATCTGCTCGCAGGGCCTCCAGCTCCTGGTCCCGTTCCTTGAGCACTGCCTCTGCCTGCAGCCAGCTGTCCTGCAGGGCCCTGGCCTCTGCCTCATGCTTCTGTGCCCACTCAGCACACTGCTGCTGGAGGGCCAACAGGGCTTTCTCCTGCTCCCGAGACTCGGCCCTCACATCACCCAACACCTCCTCCAGGGCCTGTACCCGCTGTCCCTCCACTGCCAGCTCTTCCTGGAGCCTTCGCACCTGTTCCTTGTGGTCTTCAAGCTCCTCCTGGCGCTCCTTCAGTGCCACATGGGCCTGCTCCAGGGCTCCCTGCAATGTGCGTGCCTGCTCCTTCACACTCTCCTCTTGTCCCTGGGCCTGCCGCTGTTCCTGCTGCAGGGCCTCCACCTCCTGGTTTCTCTGAACCAGGGTCCTCTGGGCCTTTTCCAGCTGACCCTGAAGTGATTGCTCTTTCAGTTGCCCCTGTTCCCTGGCTTCCTGCAGATGCCGCTGCAGGACCACCGCCTCCTGCTCCCGCTGTGTCAGGAGCAGGCTGGCCTCACCCACCTTCCTGTGTAGGCCCTGGAGCTGCTGCTCCAGCTGGTCCTTGTGCTCCTGAAGTTCCTGGATCCGCTCCTGCTGGCATTCCACCTCCTTCTCCTTGTCGCGCAGGATCAACTTCATGTGCTCAAGGCTCCCGCGCTGTGCCTTACTCTGGCCCTTCCCTTCCTCTGCCCGCTCCTGCGTGTGCGGCCTCTGAAAGGCCAGCTCCCGGCCCCGCTCCCTCAAGGACAGCTTGATCTGTTCCAGGTCCTCCTCCAGGATCTTGGTCTGCCGTGTCCTCTGATCTTCTAGGACCTGAATCCTCTCCTTCTGGAGCCTCATCTCCTGGTCCCTCCTCTCAAGATCCTGGGTCAGATGCTCCTTCTGTCTCTGTAGCTCCTCGATTTGTTCTTGCTGGCACTTCACCTCCTGGTCCCTCTCCTGGAGCTCCCCTGCCAGAAGGGTGTTGTGGCTCTCCAGCTCCCGGATCTGGCTGCTTTGGGCCTGCAGCTCCTGGCCCCTTTCCTCCAGGTCCAGTGTCATGTGGGTCAGAGTCACCCTCTGCACTTCCCTCTGGCCCTCCAGCTCCTCAATTGCCTTTTGTTGGCACTCCATTTTGTGATGGTTTTCCTCTAGTTCCAGGGCCAGGCATTCCAGGGTAACCAACTGCTTTTTCAGATCCTGAATCTGGCCTCTCTGGGACTCAATCACTTGGGTCTTCTTCTCAAGTTCTAGAAGCTGATGCTCTAAGATGTTCCGCTGAGTCTCCTGGTCCTTCTCGAGCTCTTTGATCTGCTCCCTCTGCACAGACAGCTTTTGCTCTCGCTCTTGGACAGCCATGGGCAGATGCTCTAAAACAGACCTACACTTCTCTAGCTCCTGAATCTGTTCTTGTTGCAGATCCACCTCTTGGTTCCTCTTTTTTAGGTCCAGAGACAGCACTTCCAGAGCAGCCTTCTGCATTTCCCGTTGAGTCTCCAGTTCCTGGATTTTCCCCCGTAAAGTCTCCACCTCTTCTTCTCTTTTAGATACAGCCTGGGCCAGGAGGGCCAGATTCTCCTGCAAAGCCTTCCCCTGGGCCACCTTCAGCTCGCCCTGCTCTTGCAGAGCCTGGGCTCTCTCACGTTCACTCTCCACCTCCTCATTTTTCAGTTTCAGGGCTGAGCGGGCAGTTCTCAGGTCTTCTTCCAGGACTTCAGCAGCACTTGCTTGAGCTCTGGCTTCTGTGATAGATGCTTGCAGACGTTCCACCTGGGCTGTCAGGTTCTCCTTGGCTGCCTGAAGTAGCTCTCGCTCATTCTGGAAAACAAGATGCAAAACCACCTTAGTCTACCCTTTCCTGATACTGTTACTCCAATGCAGGCCCTTCCCACTGTTACTCTGTGGTACCAGCAGTGACAAAAGCTTGGGCAAAAAGATCTGATGCATTTCATTTAAGCTGGAACTGAAAAAGAACATTCCTACCACATCCCAAGGGAGAAAACCTGGTGCAAATGAGCCATCCCCCACTCTGATCCTTCAGGGCAGGGACAAAAAATCTCCACCTCAACTTAGAAAAAGTAATTGAAGGAGGACTCACTGGGGCCTTAATAATGGTCCTCAGGGTGCTCCTGTCCGGAGGAGAGATGAGAAGGCAGAGAGGGACAGAAGCTGGTTGAATGGACATGGGAAATCTGGGGTGGAAAGGAGGAGTGTGCTGTCACAGTACAGGGAGAGCAACTAGGGTCACATAACAATGTGTGTATAAATTTTTGTATGCAAAACTAACTTGAATTGTAAACTTTCACTTAAAGCACAATAAAATAATACAAACATTAAAAAGAAAGAAAAGAAAATAGAGAATAATGCGCCTCAGGGACATGGGGACAGCCACAAGAACCGCGACACTTGGTGGAGGAAATTGGGCACTGCATACGAATGGGGCATGACTATAGGCCAAGGTGGGCCTGGGAGCTAGAACCTTGGGCCCTGAGGCAATCCCCTCTGCCAAACCAGCACCACTTTACCTGGGCTTCTATTCCCTGTAGCTCTGCTTGTTGTAGGCGACTCCGTAAGGATGCCACAGTTTCATGCAGTTCCCTCAGTTCAGATTCTAGGGATTTCTGTTTTCCTTCCCACTCGGATTTCTCTTTGGGAAAAGGAGAGGCAGTGAAGCAAGGCCCATAATCATGATTGGGGGTGGGGGAAAAGAGAGATGTGGAGGCAGATGGAGGATGGGGAAACAGACTCAAAGGGGAAGAGGGCCAAGAAGGGGAGAATTACATCCAGTTTCATAGAGACATCTCCCATGTGCCAGCTGCTTCTATTTGTCTAGGCTCCCTGCTGCTTCCAGACCCAGCACTGCCTGATAATCATCCTAAAACTTCCTCATCTGGACACATACAGATCCTCAACCCTGGGCACCAGAGTTGAGCAAGATGACACTGGAGGTCCCTTTCAGCCCCCAACTCTGTGATTCTGCCGAGGTTCCTAGAGCCATGGGTTGCTCTGTTAGCTGCCCTCCATTCCTGGAACGTGCACTATGTTGTCAACTATGTCCTCAAAATGATTAGTCTTTGATGAATGAATAGCCAGCTCTATTTGTGTGGCTCTTAGGGAGCCCTCTGGGACATTCTCAAAGCCTACACTCACTCCCCAAGTTGTCCTCTTCTCTTCTGCAGTAGAGCTTTGAGCCTCAAGACCCTCTCCTCTCCTTTCCAAGCAGTCACCACTCCTTCCAGCCCTGGGCTGTGGCACAGATATATTCTCCCATATTCCCCCTCCTTGCTATCTCCCAAACAAGCCTATAATCCTTCTGCCATCAAAGGCTAATCATTTTGAGGACATAGTTGGAGATGATAAAAATAAGTTACCTGGACAAACAACAAAAGACACAAAATTTTATTGTGTTCTCATAGCCATGATCCTGGGTTTTCAATTTTCTACCTCCTCCAGAGACAGAAAATGGAAGTCCGGCCAGCTCCTCCTCTCAGTGCACCAAATCTGTATGCCCTAATCCCTTCCTCCAGGATAGCCCTCAAAGGTCAAGCAAAGCAGAAAAACAGCTAAAGGGGGTCATCACCCTTCTCGAGATGCCTCCAGGTGCCTTCTCACACACAGTTGTGGGTAAACAGTAGAAAGAGTGGCTGGTAGGCCAGCTCCCGCCACTTTTGGACTTCCCACTTTTCTCTCTCTTCCCTCCAAGTCCCCCTTCCTGCTTTGAGCTTCTCACCTTCCTGGCTCTGGGAGAGCTGGCTCTGTAGCTCCCGCAACTCTGTGTGGACCTGGTTCTTCTCAGCCTCAGTAACAGTTAGACACTGTTCCAGCTTCTGGGCCTGATCCCTCAGATTATCCTGGGAAAGAAAGGGCCAGATAAACTCAAGTTCCTCCTCTTCCACAAACCTGTCCCAGTCCCAGGCTCAAGCTCTCTCCTCATTCTCACCCTCTGTGGTGGTCTGCCATCATGGACCTACTCCCAGGCTGCTGGGTTGTTACAGAACCCTCTAGCTCCCTAAAGTGATAACAGGCTCTGCTCTAAATGGCTGGAGGCGAGAATCTCCTTCTGTCAAGCCTATGTCTTTTGAAACTGAACTCCTGATTAAAGTCCTAGCCTAAGGGTCTTCTCTTTCCTCCCTGAACCCTGACTTAGTCCATAGGTCGCCTCTTCCTTCCTGAATTCCCTCCTGAGTCAGAATGAATTGCCCCTTCCTCCTAGTTCCAACAGTGCAACAGTTGCAGCTACTATTGATCTTATTAATTCTGCCTTACATGGAATGCAGTTTGGTTTCTCAGCCATGTCACAAGCCATTCTTAAGGGCAGAGATCAGGTCCTTCTCCTTTTGTGTACCCAGCTCAGAGTGGCTGGCATATTGGTGGCGCCCAGTTTTTATTAACTGATAGGTTCACTGTGAGGTGGAATTTGTGGGACATTTAGCTTAGCTGTAGGCCTAGAATGTTCCTGTAAATGGCAACCTCAAATGTCATGGCCCCCAACGTGTCAGGTTTTTCTTGGAGGTTTTGGTATTAAGGATAATCCATGGCTGAGATGAAAATATGTTGTAACACAATACCACATACCTGTAAGGGTTTTATAGCTTACAGAGCTCATTCAAGTCCCTCACTCATTTAGTCCTCACAACTACCCTGTAAGGCAGGTCTTATTTGCCCTACTTTACAAATGAAACCAAGGCTCAGAAAATCCAAATCTTTTTTCATGACTGCCAGGTAGTAAGTGGTAGAGGTGGAACTGATCCCAACTTGATCTCAGGAGTAAAACACGTCAAACTGCTTCAGAGTCTTTTTCTCAAGCCTTAGGTGGAGGCAAAGAGTCAGGAAAGGGGAGCAGAGAAACCTACCCGGGCCTGTCGAGTCTTCCACAGGTCTTGGTGAAGCTTGTGGAGGGCAGATGCCACTGCCTCAGCTGAGAGAGCAGTCAGGAGGGGCTCTCCTTTAAAGAGGCTGCTAACTTCATTCTGGTCTGAAAAAATGAGGAACAACCTCTTGACCTGGCTGCCCCTATGAAAAGAAACAGCCATAGCTCCCAGACATACCTTGGCCTTGCCACTGATCCCTCCTCTCCTCAAAGAACCCCTTCTTAGCAGTTCGTTCACGTATTTTCTGCATACCTATGTGCCAGCATGGTGCTGGGCACTAGGCAATGGCAGTTATCATTTGTCAGGCGTTTAGTAGGTGCCACGAACTCTGTGAGCTAGTTTACATCTATAATCTCATTAGCTCCTCAGAAAGGTACTGAGATTAGGTACTTATATTGTTGTTGTTGGTTGCCATCGAGCTGATTCTGATTCATGGCAACCCCATGTGTGCAGAGTAGAACTGCTCCACAGGGTTTTCAAGGCTGTGACCTTTAGGAAGCAGATCACTAGGTCTGTCTTTTGAGGTACTTATGGGTGCGTTTGAACCGCCAACCTTTCGGCTAGTAGTCAACTGTTTAACTGTTTTGTTAGTGCCATGCAGGGACTCCTGGGACTTTTAATATTCTCATTTTATAGTTGAAGAAAATCAAGCTCAGAGAGGATAGGTGACTTGTACAAGGACACACAGCTATCAAACGGCAGACCTGGCATTCACTCAGAATGAATTCCAGAGTCTGTGGCCTGAACCTTGGTGCAGCCTTGCCTAAGGGACTGCATTCCTCTTCCCTCTCCCCTGGGAGCTGGGCCTGACCCAAAGGGCTGAGTTCTTGGGTGGCTGCCTCACCTGGCTCAGGGCCCCAGAGGGAGGGAGCAGAGTCTCCCCCACCACTCAGCTCAGGCCTGTTCTCACAAACAGGCCCCAGGCTCTGCTGCAGGACAGAATAGAGGCTGGCCAGCTGGGCCTGGGCATGGTGCCCGGGCCGCTGCTCTGCCGCCAGCGCCTCCAGCTGGCTCTCCGCGCTTCGCAGTCGCAGCTGGAGTTGGGCTCCCTTGGCTTCCTGGGCCCACAAGGAAGCTCGCAGCTGCTGCTCCGTGACCCGGGATACCTCCAGCTCCTCCAGCAGCTGTGCTTCCTGGGCCAGAAAGTCAGCCTCCTTTTCCTTCACCTCCTGCCTCAGTAACTCCACCTGCCAGGGAGGATGTGCAGTCACTGTGTGCAGGGAAGAGGTGCCTTTTTCTCCCAAGCCGGACCCTACTCAATCCCTGTGCAAAGCTTGATCATGGCTGGAGGGATTTCAGCAGGCTCAGCTCTCCAGCAGGTAGGCAGGGCTCTGAAATGAGTATCAGCCTAGATCTGACACCGAGTAGGTAGATGCCTATCTACTGATTGGCCTTCCCGTGATTCCCGACACATGGGCCCAGGCTACAGAATGGGCTTCTGCTCCGGTTCCTCTGGCAAATATGACAGCTCTCTGCTAGGATTAGAACTCTGCTCTGACACTTGACGCTGACCAGTCACAGTAACAATGGCTGCCATTTACTGAATGCTTACTGTGTTCCTGACACTTAAGGTCTACCATCTCATCGTCTCCTCATATTCCTATAATGGTTAGGATTGTCACCCCTATTTTATGGGTGAAGAAACTGATGCCCACACAAATGGGAAGCAGTAGAGCTGGGAGTCAAACCCAGGATTATCTAACAACAGACTTGCATCCTTAACTGCTGCAACCTACTGTCTAATTCTTACTCTCCTCCCCTCCCCCTCCCAACTCCATCTTTCTTCTGGGGTCTGGGGTCCTGCTGTTGAGCAGACTGAGGCCCTGGAAGATCCACTTACTGCTGCCTACCTTCCTGGCATAGTACTCATCGCTCAATTCCCCCTGCTACATCTTGCCAATCAGACTAAGAGCGCTTAGATGTGGCTGTGCGTGAAGCCGGCTCACGTGTGCCCCTCCCCCTTGGGCACTATGTTCTAGGGTGTCAAGTTCCCAATGCCAAGGGGTCATTCGCATCTCTGGATCACGTCCCCAAGCCCCCACCCTGCCCAGTCCTGGCTGCCCCCTCCTGCCAGGGCTACTGAGGTCACAGCCTACTCTGTAATATGGAACAAGACAAGGGGCCTCTCAGTGAGGGGGCTCTGAACAATCATCCTGACACTCCTGGACAGGCTTCCACCAAGGAAGCAGGGCTCATAACCAGGGCGGGAAGTACCTGGGCACTGAGCTCTTTCTGCCCTCCCCGGGCCTCCTGCATGTCCTGGCGCAAAGAGCTCAGCTCTTGTTGTCGAGCAGAGTCAGCTTCTTGCAAGACAAGGAGTCTCTGTTCCTTTTCCACCAGTGATTGAGTCAGGCTAAAACGAGAGGTGTCAGGGGGCTGGGCCACTCTCTCAGAGAACGAAGACTATGTTTCATCTGTTTTCTAAACACAGCATTAGTTATTCAGATAGAAACAGTAATGATAATGATTATAGTGTAACAATAACAGCTACCATCTATTGAGCACCTACTGAGTGCCAAGCACTGCCCTAGATACTTCATGCATATGACACTTCATTTTAATGACCTGACTTATTCTTCTCTGGCAAATTCCAGATATATCTATACAAGGACCTCAAACTCAAAATGTCCAAAACTTCCCATCCCCTTTGTACTTCCCCTCATCCGCAATCATCTCCTTCTACTATGCTCCCTAGCTAAGTGAATGGCAACTCTATCCACCCAGTGCCCCAAGCTAGAAACTTTGGCCATATCAGAGTTCTTCCTTCATTCCATCCACTTCCAGTCTGTGACTAAATATTAACTGATTCTAACTCCCTTATAACGTCCCTGATGCCCATCCTTTCCTCCCCATCCCCACTACCCCCATCCTGGTTCAGCCTTAGCGTCTCTCATCCCGACAACTGTACTAGCCTCCTAACTTGTCTTCCTGACTCTAGTTTCATCAGCAAAGGGGTCTGTCCCTTCTCAGACTCCTACAGCACTGAGAATATGTGCTGCTCCTCATTCTGAATGGTCTCATATTGGTCCTGATGCTTCATGTCATTACTATTCCTCTGACACATCATAAATTGGCTCATGTCAACTTCCCTGCTTAAAATCCTCCAATGCTATCCCATCAAACTTAAACTGCAAACTCCTTGCTAAGGCCTACAAAATCCTGAACGATATGGCACTTGTCTGGCTCATGCCACTCTCTCCTCATGCACTGTGCTCCAGTCATGCCACACTCTTTCAGTTGGACCAAACACCCAAGCACCTGCCTCAGGGCTTTTGGGAATGGGTGGCTCCATTTCACTCTCAGTGTTCAGTTTAAATGCAACCTCCTGAGAAAGACCCTCCCTAGTGACCTATCTAAAGTCAGTCTCCTCTCTCTTATTTCTATTTCAGCACCCTGTTTCTCTCTTCCACACCATGTATCGTAAACTGTAATCATTTATTTGGGGGATTATCTGATTAATGTCTTCCCCACAAACCTATAAACTCTATTGAGGTAGGGACCACACTGTGTCCCCAGCTCCTGGGACAGTGCCTGGTATGTAATTGGTACTCTCTAAATATTTATGAAATGAATGGAGTATAAGCTGTGAAGACAGGGACTGTCCTGTCCACACAGTATATATACAGACCAGACCTGGAGACTTGAAAGGTTCAAAAAATCCATGCTAGATGACCTGAGTAAAGAAGTGTCAACCACATGGTGATCAATGTAGATAGACAGGCAGAAGTCAACCCCACGGCCTATCTAGCCTACCTGGCTTTCTCTCTCTCCAGCTCCTTCTGAATCTGGCTATACTCTTGGGCCTCTCTTAGCTTCTCCTGAACCTCCTGCTCCATCAGCCTCCAGGAGTCATCCTTGACAATGAGCTGAGACTTTAAGTCCTCCACCTGGAAAGTTAAGGGTATGAAGACTAAGATAACAGGGTAGGGGGCCAGTGGAAGAGTGCTTCTCACCTAGGGCTTTAGGGCCCTTTGAGGCCTACCACAGTCACTGGCCCATTTCCAATGCTCTGGAGTCTCCACCAATCCCTCTGGCTGTCCTTAGTCATACCCCTCCCCAACATCATCCAGCCTAGTCATCTGTCTCCCCAGCTCCACATACGCCGTATAAAGGCAGGCCTGAATAACAATACTGGCTGAATGGAACTATGCCCAAAGGCAAAGTGATGGTTGAGTGTTTGGTGACTGTATTTTTTAAAATAAAAGATCAGAATATTATTAATATAGGATTCTGAGAAGGAGAAGCAATTGAGTAGGAAAAACAATCTGATACATAAAAATATTAGATTTATGGGAAGGATGGGAAGAACAACTGAAACTAGGACTGTATGAGAAAACCTAAGTTCTGTGGTCACAACAGAGAAAGAGGTTACTGTTGCAGGGTTCTGAGCACCCTTCAAGAGTCCTGGAGGCGCAGTGGTTAAGCACTTGGCTGCTAACCAAAAGGTCAGCAGTTTGAATCCACTAGCCATTCTGAGGAAACCCCATGGGACAGTTCTACTCCGTCCTATAGGGTCACTATGAATGGGAATCGATTCAACAGCAACAGTTTTTTTTTTTTTTTGAGCACCCTTCAATGTTCCACTCAGTATTGTAGCCTACCCTTCCCCTCCCAAGCTCAGGCAGCAGGGCCACAGCTCCTCCTGGTCTACAGGAGATTGTGGAGAGCTGGCCATGCTGGGGAAGGGCTGTGGGGCTGGGTGGAGAGGAGAAGACCTGCTTCTGCAGGTCCATCTTATCCTGCAGCAGGGTGTTGCCCTCTGCTTTGACCGCAACAAGGTCATCTCTGTGCTGCTGGGCTGCCTCCTCCAGTTCCCGCTGGGCCTCCTGGAGCTGGGCCTGCAGCATCTCACTGGTCTCCTGCAGAGGGGGAGATATCAGTGAGTATAGGAAGGCTTCTCCTGGGACCTTGGTCTTGAAATCCTTGGTATATAAATACTGGCTTTTTAGCTGGCTTGGCAAAAGTTGAGGGAGGACCCAGCAACCCATCTTGTTTCCATGATGCCCCACCACCTCAAATGCCCTTAACTCCTTGCCTCATAGTCCTTTTCCTCTCTCACTAACAGCACTGGCTAACAACAACAACAACATAGAAATAGAAATTAGATTAGTGGTTACCTAGGGCTGGGGCTGGGGCAGGGGAGAAAATGGTAAGTGACTTCAGAAGTGACTTTTCCAAGTGTGATGTCCTTCTCCAGGGACTGGTCCTTCCTGCTAACATGTCCAAAGTATGTAAGATGAAGTCTCATCATCTTCTCTTTCAAGGAGGTGTCAAAATCTTTGCTGTTTCTATAGCTTTGCCCATTCTGGACATTTCATATAAATGGAATCATATAATATGTGATCTTTTGTGACTGGCTTCTTTCACTTAGCACAGTATTTTCAAGGTTTATCCATGTTGTAGCATGTAGCTGGCTTCTTTTTTAACCTTCAAGTCTCAGCTCAAATGTCGCTTTCTCAGTGGGGCCTTCTCTGACCATCTTGTCCAAAGTGACCTCTTTTGAATCACTTTCAATGATATCATCCTTTTTATTTCCTTCACAGCCCTATACAGCCTGTAATTATTTATTTTGCATCTGCTTGTTTTTATTGTTTCTGGCATAAGAATGCAAGTTCCCTGAGGGCAGGGACAGTGTCTGTCATGTTCCCTGTTGTGCCAGACATTTCTGTACCTATCATGTGTCAGCACCTTGCACAGGGCCAGGAGCGTAAGTGCCAAACAACTATTGTTTTTTTTTTTTAATTGTACTTTAGATGAAGGTTTACAGAACTAGTTTCTCATTAAACAGTTAGCACACATATTATTTTGTGACATTGGCTGCCAATCCCATGACATGTTCAACACTCTCTCCTTCTCGACCTTGGGTTCCCTATTACCAGCTCTCCTGTCCCGTTGCCTTCTCGTCCTTGCCCCTGGGCTCGTGTGCACATTTTGTCTCATTTTGTTTTATAGGCCTGTCTGATCTTTGAATGAAGAGTGATCCTTAGGAGTGACTTCACTGCTGAGCTAAAAGGGTGTCCAGGGGCCATACCCTCAGAGTTTCTCCAGTCTCTGCTAGACCACTAAGTCTGGTCTTTTTTTTGGTGAGTTAGAATTTTGGTCTACATTTTTCTCCAGCTCTGTCTGGGACCCTCTATTGTGATCCCTGTCAGAGCAGTCGGTTGTGGTAGCCGGGCACCATCTAGTTGTGCTGGACTCAGTCTGGTGGAGGCTGTAGTACTTGTGGTCCATTAGTCCTCTGGACTTATCTTTCCCTTGTGATTTGATTTTCTTCATTCTTCCTTGCTCCAGACTGGGTGAGACCAGTGGAGTATCTCAGATGGTCACTCACAAGCCTTTAACACCCCAGATGCTACTCACCAAAGTAGAATGTAGAACATTTTCTTTATAAACTATTTTATGCCAGTTGAGCCAGATATTCCCTGAGACCATGGCCCCCACAGCCCTCAGCCCAGTAATTTGGTCCCTCAGGGAGTTTGGCTGTATCTATGGTGCTGCCATGACCTTGCCTTGGACAAGCCGTGTTGGCTTCCCTAGCACAACTACTTATTGTTGAATGAGCAAATGAATGCTCCTTCTTCTTCCTTGCCACAGGGCCAACCTCCATACCTGCTCCTTCAGCTTCTGAACCTTCATGTCCTGCCTCAGTCGTTCCAGTTGTTGGCTGGCATCTGCCAGCTCCTTCTGGGTCTGCAGCAGTGTCTCCAGCAGGGACACTCTCTCCTTCTCCGTCTCGAGCCGCATCTGTGGAGGGGCAGGAAGGGCAAGGGCTTGTTGGGTCAGGGTTATCATGATCATCCCCAAGCACACTGCAGCTGCACTAGGACTCTTGTGGCAAATGGGGTGGGGGCTGAGGGTGAAGGAAGGTCTGAACCTACTGATGCAGAACCAGGAAGTGCAAAGACTGACACTGGTTTATAAGCAGACAGGAAGTGGTAAATATGAGCCCTCCCTCAGGAAGTAGGACATGCTACAGGTCCTGCAGCTAACGGTGCTCATCACCCTGCTCACTGGTAGCAGAGTGGGTAGCTCTACCCTCCTCTGGGAGCCCCTCTGCCACAGCACTTCTGGAAGTGGAAAAGGAAGTGTCCAAAGGTCGGGGGATCATAGACTGGACATGCAGCTCCAGCCCTCGGGGCTATCCACCTGGCACAGGGCACTCTCAGCCTGGGCCCGTTCTTCCTCCTTCTGCAACCGGATGGCCTCGGTTTCTGCCTGCTGCTCCCTCAGTCTCGTTTCCAGTTCCATTTTCTCCCTCTTTACGACCTCCACAGTCTTATCCAGCTCCTGCTGGTGCCAGGAGCGCTCTTTCTCCTGGTCACATGAAGGAAACACTTGTTAGAACCAGAACGGCAAGAAGAGGCAGAAAGAGAACTGGATTGGAATAGTTATGTGACCTTGATATGTCTCTAAGCCTCTTTCCTCATCTGCAGAATGAGGCTAATAATCCCTGTGTTATCTATCTCACCAGATTTTTTAAGAATCAAATGATATTTATAAAAAATCAAATGATATAATACATGTAAAAGTGCTTTCTAAAGTGCAGTTATCCCTAACTTAAGCTACGAATATCTCTTTTTCTTTCTAATTCTGCTTTAAGTGAAAGTTTACAGTTCAAGACAGTTTCTCATACAAAACTTAATATATACATTGCTATGTGACCCTAGCTACTCTCCCTATAATGTGACAGCCCACTCCTCCTTTCCACCCTGGATTTCTGTGTCCATTCAACCAGCTCCTATCTTTTTTGCCTTCTCATCTCGCCTCCGGACAGGAGCTACCCATTTAGTCTCATGTGTCTACCTAAGCTAAGAAGCACACTCTTCACGAGTATCATTTTATGTCCCATAGTCCAGTCTTATCTTTGCCTGAAAAGTTGGCAAATGGTTTCAATTCCGGGCTAACAGAGAGTCCAGGGGCCATGTCTTCTGGGGTCCCTTCAGTCTCAGTCAGACCATTAAGTCTAGTCTTTTTACTAGAATTTGAGTTCTGCGCCCCACTTTTCTCCTGTTCCATTGGGGACTCTGTTGTCAGGGGGTGGGTCACTGGTGGTAGCCAAGCACCATCTCATTCTTCTGGTCTCAGGCTGATGGAGTCTCTGGTTTATGTGGCCCTTTCTGTCTCTTGGGCTAATATTTTCCTTGTGTCTTTGGTGTTCTTTATTCTCCTTTGCTCCAGGAGGGTTAGGACCAACTGATGCATCTTAGATGGCCGCTCGCTAGCTTTTAAGACCCCAGATGCCACACACCAAAATGGGATGCAGAACGTTTTCTTAATAAACTTTGTTATGCCAATTGACCTAGATGTCCCTTGAAACCCAGACTCCTGCCCCTGCTACTCTGTCCCTCGAAGTGTTTGGTTGTATTCAGGAAAATTTATTAGCTTTTGGTTTAGGCCAGTTGTGCTGACTTCCCCTGTACTGTGTGCTGTCCTTCCCTTCACCTAAGATAATTCTTATCTACTATTTAGTTAGTGAATACCCCTCTCCCTCCCTCCCCACCCTCATAACCATCAAAGAATGTTTTCTCCTGTGTTTAAACCATTTCTTGAGTTCTTATAATAGTGGTCTCATATAGTATCTGTCCTTTAGCGACTAATTTCACTCAGCATGCCTTCCAGATTCATCCATGTTATGAGATGTTCCACAGATTCACTGTTGTTCTTTATTGTTGCATAGTATTCCCTTGTGTGAATATACCATAATTTGTTTATCCATTCGCCCGCTGACAGGCACCTAGGTTGTTTCCATCTTTTTGTGAATATCTTTTATTTTAAAGCAACCACAACATGATCGATGGCTGTAACAATGAACTGAGGCAGCAGACCCTGGCTCTCTGTTGCCCAGGTGCAGAGTTGGCCTCCTAAAAAACCAGGCCTAGCCTAGCTAGGGAGTCCCTGAATGGTGAAAACAGTTAACGTGCTTGGCTGCTAGCCAAAAGGTTGAAGGTTCAAGTCCACCCAGAGGTGCCTCAGAAGAAAGGCCTGATGATCTACTTCTCCTCAAAAAATCAACCATTGAAAACCCTATGGAGCACAGTTCTACACTGATACACATGGGGTCGCCATGAGTCGGAATCGACTTGACGGCAATTGGGGCCTGGTTAGGATGTCTCCCTATATTATACAAGGGCATCAGGATGGGGGACCCTGGTTTTCCCAGAGGTCCACCAGTGATCAAGGCCTCCCTGACCTCCCAGACCAGTCTAGGTCCTTCTATTAGAGGCTCTTAGGACGGTGGTTAAGAGCTTGGGCTCTGGAGTTAGGCTGCCTAGGTTACAGCCTTTAATCCACCAATACTACTGTGACCTCAGTTTCTAAACATCTCGATGCCTCAGTTTTCTCATCTATAAAAATAGGCATAACAATAACGCTCTCCTAGGGTTGCAATGAGGATTGAGGTAATTCATGAAAGCACTTCAAACAGTGCTCCGCAGAGAAAGTACTCAGTGTATAATAGCTACCGTCATCATCACATTAGTATTTCTCTACACCTTTCCTTTAAAATGCATATAATTTTGTAGTTATACATTTATTGCAGTGGGCAAGTACGCTGCAAAAGACCTCTTTCAAGTGTTAAAAAGCAAAGATATCATCTGAAGACTACGGTGAACCTGAACCAAACCATGGTGTTTTCAGTCACCTCATATGCATTTGAAAGCTGGACAATGAATTAGGAAGATCGAAGAAGAATTGACACCTTTGAATTATGGTGCTGGCAAAGAATATTGACTATACCATGGGCTTCCAGAAGAATGAACAAATCTGTCTTGGAAAAAGTACAACCAGAATGCTCCTTAGAAGCAAGGATGGTGAGACTCCGTCTCACATACTTTGGACATGTTGTCAGGAGGGATCAGTCCCTGGAGAAGGACATCATGCTTGGTAAAGCAGAGGGTCAGTGAAAAAGAGGAAGACCCTCAAGGAGATGGACTGACACAGTGGCTGCAACAATGGGCTCAAACATAGCAACGATTGTAAGGATGGCACAGGACCGGGCAGTGTTTCATCCTGTTGTACACAGGGTTACTATGAGTCGGAAGCGACTTGAAGGCACCTAATAAAAACATTTATTTAATGGAGTGCTTCTAGTGTTTCACCCCTTTCCAGCATATCATCTTATGTAGCTTTTCCCCTACTTATGACACTCTGGCTACACTGGCCTCCTTTCAGTTCCTGAGCACACTAAGCTCTTTCACACCACCTGGAACACTGTTCCTTGGCCCCATCCCATCATTTCTTACATCTCAGCTTAACTGACACTTTTTTGGAGAAGGCCTCCCCAACCATGCAACTTGAAATAAATCCCCCTTGTTATTTTTTCTTATGATACCTAGTTCATTTTCTTCGTAGAACTTTTATAATTTATAATCCTTTACTCATTTATGTATTAACTCATCTAATACCTGTCTTTTCCCCAAACTGGAAGCTCTGTAAGGAGACGTATGTCTGGGTTACTCTCATTGTGTCCTCAACCTCCAGCATCGTGCTGGCACATGGTTAGTACTCCATCAACACTGCTTGAATGACTCAGTGAATAAGCTGTTGGTGTTAGGTGCTGTCAAGTCAATTCCTACTCATAATGGCCCGATGTGACAGAGTAGAACTGCCCCATAGGGTTTTCTTGGCTGTAAGCTTTATGGAAGCAGATTGCCAGGTCTTTCTCCCATGGAGCCCCCAGGTGGGTTCAAACCACCAACCATTTGGTTAGGAGCTGAGCGCTTAACCGTTGCACCACCAGGGCTCTAGTGAATAAGCTACTGGACTGTTAAGATGCCTAAGAGCAGCAATCTATAAAGTCACAGTTGTATAACTGTTATGAATGTCAAATCTTACACTCTAGTTCCAAAAGCCAACTAAAAAGATGGGAAAGAGTTCAGATTTTACTCTCATAAGCAGCAATACTGGGACCAAGAGTCAGCAGGTGGAGCACTCACTTAAGGGAGGCCACGTTTGCTTCTCCCACCCCCTAGCCACACCCACCACCTACCCATTTCTCCTGGAGCCGGTCCACCTCCTCTTCATGGGCTGCCTTCTGCTGCTGCAGGGCAGTCTGCCTCTCTTGTTCAGCCAGGGCCAGCTGTCTGGATGCTGCATCCCGCTCCTGCTCTGCCCGTCTCCGTTCAGTGTCCAGTTCCAGCTTCAGGCACCTCACCTCCCCTAAGATGCCAGGGACAGGTCTCTGAACCTCTGCCTCACTCCTCCCTCCTATTAACATTCTCCCCCTCCCCCACTTCACGAGCACCTCCTATCTCAGAGGCCCTGGGCCTGGCTGGGGAAGGACCTTAATAGCCTCCCACTGCCTGGCTTTCAACACTCCCATGGAATGGAGTGGGCACCATCCCAGTTGGGTTCTCACCTTGGATCACGTCTTTGGCTTGCGTAACAGTTTGAATCTGGACCTCCAGCTGCCCCTTGGTGACCTCTATCAGAGAATTTTGTTGTTGGGCCTCATAGAGACTGCTCTCCAGTAGCTCCTTGGCTGAGCTGCAAGGTTCAGGAATCAGGAAGAGTTCTTACCCTTCAAGTCCCTTGTTGTTCATGTGCCGTTGAGTCAGTTTTTTTTTTTTTTTTAAGATTCTTTAAAACTTTTTTTCTTTTGACATAATTTCAAACTTAAAGTTGCAAGAATAGCACAAAAAAATTCCCAGATATCCTTCACCTAAATACTAACATTATACATTTGCTTTATCCTTTTCTCTGTACACACATACACATACTGAGCTGGTTTTTGACTCACAGCAACCCCATGTGACACAGCAGAACTGCCTTGTAGAATTTTCTAAGCAATAATCTTTATGGGAGCAGATCGCCAGGTCTTTCTCCCGCAGAGCAGCTGGGTGGGTTCAAACCTCCAACCTTTTGGTTAGCAGCTGAGCACTTAACCACTTTGCCACCAGGGCTCCTTCGCCTTCATTAAGAAGAGTTGGTTCTAAGTACTAACCACCTGGAGAAAGTTAGGGGGGTAACTATAAATTCACAACTTTTTTAGAATCCAACCATGTAGGGCAGGGAGCTTATGTTGGCTACCCCTTGCCTTGCAAAGCTCTACTCTGCCTTTGGCTGAACTGGGTCTGGGCCCTACCTGAGCCCCAGTAGTTGCTCAGAGAGGCTCTGCCGGTCCCGCTCCACAGCTTGCAGCCGCACCTCTAAAGCCGCCTTCTCTCGTACTAGGGCCTCCTTCTCCTGGACTGCCCTGGCCAGAACTTCTTCTTGTCGCTTTGCCTCCTGCTGTAGCTGCTCCAGCTGAGCTGTGGTTGCCTCCTGCTGGTGGCACACCTGAGGGGAAGAATGTGGTGAGACACAGTAGGGACAGAATATTTCTTCGGGCTACCCGCCAAGGTAGGGCCATCGGCTCTTCAGAGATTCTGAGCCCAGCTGTGAGCCCTGAGCACTGCCCACGCCACTCGATTTATCTACTTCCCTGATCAACCCACAGAGCACCCAGCCCAGGAAGCCCGCTCTTCCATAAGCAAGACTCTGCACTACAGACTGCAGGAGACCTGCCCCTAAGGAACTTTTAGTCTCAAGAAGTAAGACACACATGTAATACCAGAAAGTGATCAGTACCCTGAGAAAGAGATGTTGAGAGGAGAAACAATGTATAATTATTAGGGCACTAAGAGGTTTGGTAAAGAAGATAGCGACTTTTGAGCCTGGTCATTGGTTAATTTTTTTTTTTTTTTTTTTAATGGAGTCCCTGCTAAATGCACTGTGCTAAAAGCTGGAGGAATAAAAACAAGCAAGACACAGTCCTGCCTTCAAGGAGCTTTTGGTCTAATGGTGGAGACAAGTCAATATAGTATGAAGGGTGTGATAGCTGAAATAAGCCTGAAGTGCTATCAAGCACAGGAGAGGCATCTAACTCAAACAGGGGCTTGTGAAGTAGGGGGTAAGGGGAGTGGGAAGCAGAGAAGGATTCCTATACAAAGCGAGGGGAGAGGAGAGTCAAGTGATGCTAAGGTGGCACAACTTGTAAAGAAAGGGGCCACAGAACTCCAAACTGTAAGTGATCTCTTGTATAGGTACTGTCACTGTCACTTTTGAGGGTTAATATGGAGAAGAGGGATCATGGAAATTTTTAGAAGAAAGTAGTAAAATAAATTTAAAAAAAAACAAAAAACAACTTGAAAGCCATTTCTGTAAATAATCATATTTAATTTATACAAATGTATACGTGTATATGTTATGGATTGAACTGTGAGCCCCAAAAATATGTGTTGTAAATCCTAGCCTCTATGCCTGTGATTATAATTTCATTTGGGAATGGGTTGTCTTTATTATGTTACTGAGGCAAGATTAGTGTAGGGGGCGTTTTGAGTGACTCTCTTGAGACATAAAAAAGATTAAACAAGCAAGCGAGAGAAGCAGAGATGGGGGAAGAGAGGCACAAGCCACATGAAGATCACCCAGGAGCAGAAGCTCAAAGAGACAAGGACCTTCCCCCAGAGTCGACAGAGAGAGAAAGCCTTTCCCTAAGAGCCGGCACCCTGAATTCGGACTTCTAGCCTCCTAAACTGTGAGAAAATAAATGTGTTAAAGCCACTCATTTGTGGTATTTCTGTTACAACAGCACTAGATAACTAAGATAGTATGTATAAATACACACCCCATTTCTATATATTTCTTCTTAGGAAAAATTTGAAGATTATACCCCAAATTCACAGCACTGGCATTTCTAGGATGTAAGACGTCCACTTTTGGAATCATCTCTATAATATTTTAATTTTGTATAATGAGCATGTATTATGCCCTAAGGTGATGGGGTTTAGTCCATTTTGTCTTCTCACCTCGCTCAGCTTCCCTTGAATTTCTTCCTTCTCTTCTTGGATGCCCCTGAGATCTGCCTGCAGCTCAGCCTCCGTCTCCTCTGCTTTCTGCAGCTGTGCCTCCAGGTGAGTTTTCTGTTCCCACAGAGCTTCCCTGCTCCTCTCTGCCTCTGCCAGGTCCATATGCAAAGCATTTCTTGCCTGCTCTGCTGCCTCCATTCTGCTGCATGCAGACTGGTTCTCCTGTTCTAACTACTAGCCAAAAAAGGAAAGGGATAAAGGACATCAAAGACAAATGGTTACAGTTTAGGGATCAGGTGCTGAAGCTGAAATCCAAGTGAGATTTGTATCTATTCTCCAAAGATGAACACAGAAGTGCTTATAAGAGAGAGGAAAATCCATTCATTTGAACTAGTGCCTATATTCCAGGTACTAGATGGGCTGGATGCTCAGGATAGGGATCAAGAGGGCAAAACCCTGCTCTCAAAGAATTCAGTAAAATGAACACGGAACATTTCTGGGGCTCAAGGGAACAGGGGTAGGGAGGAGATATGCTAAATTTGTACTATAAAAAGAAGATTCTTTAGGACTTAGGCTCTTTGGCAGATCATCTTCTGGTGACAGCTATTATTTCATGGATTAAAAACAGGATTAAAAACCTAAACGGTCTTCCTTCCACAGGACACGGGGCTCCTTTCTAGCCCTGGTGATCCTGATTTATCCTAAAGTCCAAAGATGGGTTTTGTTTTAGGTGTGGGAAGGGAATATTTTTAATGGCTAAGGTCAATCCTTATAGTCTTTGCTCTGCTCTGCATTGTAAATGTTCCTTTTGCTCATTTTACAACTACATTTGGGAATAATCTGTCTTGGACTTTTCCATATGGGGACTCTTCCTTGTCATGGGCACCAGCTTCAGCTGCCACTGCCTTGCCCTCGATCAGGGCCCAGACCTACCTCAGGGATCAGAGAAATTGTTGCTCACCTGGAGAAGCTGCTGATTCAGTCCAACTTTATCTAAGGCCAAAGCCTCATTTAAGGCACTGAGCTTGACAGCTGCAGCCCGAAGATCAGCTACCTCCACCTTCAGGCTGTTCTCAGAACTCGATAGCTCTGCAATTGACTGTTCTGCCTAAAAACAAAGAGGGTTAGAGTTCCAGACTTCCAGTTTGCCTGCAACCTTACAATGCTCACATCCCCAACACCTGCTGCTTTCTTTGTACAAAGATCAGTTAACGCTCTATTCCCTCCCTTTCATCCTAAGGAAGCTTTCCTTTCTGTCATTGATGAGTAAGACAGCAGCTCACAGTATAAAGGCACAGGCATAGGATACATAACAACTACAACTGTAATGACTCTATAGAAAATGTAAGCACGAAGTGGTCTGGAACGCAAAGAAGGCGTCAGTTCAGTCTGTGAGAGGTAAACATGCTTGGTAGAGGAGTTGAGAACTCAGGTATGGAGAGATGAGGAAGAGTGTGCTGGCTGAAGAGGGAGGACAGAGGCAGTCCAGGCAAAGGGAAGAGTATATGCAAAGTATTAGCGTCAACAAAAAACATGGTATAACTGAGAATGCAATTAGTGCTGTGAGCAGGAGCAAGGAAGAAAGGCCTGGGGGTCTACTTTTGGAAATCAGCCAGTGAAACCCCATGGATCACAATGGACCAATCTGCAACTGATCATAGGGATGGTGCAGGACCTGACAGCATTTCATTCCATCGTGCATGGGGTTGCCATGAGTCGGGGGCCAACTCCACAGCAGCTAACAACAGCAGGAGCAAAGCTATATGAGAAGTTAGAACAGGAAATCTGGAGCGGAAGAGGAAGCTAGAAACACAGTTTGAGCCAGATGGCAGTAGGCTTTGAATGTGGCACCAAAGAGCTCGGAAGTCACGTTACGGTTTTAAGAATGAGACTGACATAACTAGATTTATACATTAAAAAATTCATTCTAATTCCAATATAGAGGGTATGCTGGGAGGGAGAGAACCCAGAAGCAAAGATAGTAATTGACGCAAGAAATATAAGGGGTCATGGCTTGAAGGGTGAGGAATGAGGCAGGCTGCATACCCTTTATCTAGAAACACATTTTTGGAGGCCGCCCACCCAGCAACTGAGGGAGGAGGCCTACGCACCCTAGCCAGCGCTGCAGTCACTTCTGCTTGCTCCTGCCTCAGTAACTCCCCTTCCAGGCGACTCGACTCCAGGGCTTCCCGAAGAGTGATCAGTTCACTGAGGGATTCCGACTGTTTGGCTTCCAGGCCCACCAGCATCTCCTGACTAAGATGGGAAGGAGAGGGGGGCTAGAGGAAGTCTTAGGGAGTAGCCACCCCTAAAGGTAACAGGAATATAATTACCTCTGCTAGGCAAAAAAAAATGAAGAAGGTCTCTAAAAACTGAAAAGGAAACATCTCCAAGACACAGACTTAGGTGAAAAAAGCAAGGTGCTAAACAGTATATACAGTATGCTACCTTTCATGCAAGAAATTAGGGAAAATAAGAATAGAAGCTTGTATTTGTATAAAGCAGCACTAGCAAGATAAACAAGAAATTAATTAAAATGGTTATCTGTCGGAGAAGGGGACGTGGGATGAAGGGGGCAGGGGCGGGAGTGAGACTTCTCTGTGTATATGTTTTTGTATAGTTTTGATGTTTGAACCATACAAATGCATAACTGATGGAAAAAATAAAAATTTTAAAACATATAATCATCTCTGTAGATTGTCAGTCTTTCCCCTTGGTACCTGGGAGATCACTCTGAGCACAAGTCATGACCCTTACGGCAGTTCTGCAAGAGTCCATCATTCATGCCTACCGGGTGCAAAGAACTAGGGCCAGGAGTGGAGGGGGCATACCATAGATGGAGAAGATACAGCCCCTGCTACCAGGTACTGAAGACCTACATTTGTCAGGCTCTATGCTGGCATTTTGCAAACACTGCTCTAATCTTCCCCACAAACCTTCAAGGTAAGAATTATCCCAATTTTACAAATCTGTCCAAGTGGCAGAGTCGTAATTTAAACCAAATGTTTGCCTGGCTCTAAAGCCTTTGCTCTTTCCATGAGATCACAGAGGGAGTTCACAGATTAGCTGGGGAAATAATCCAAAATCAGGGTCCCTTTCCTCTGGGTTTCTGTTACTTCCCATTGTAAGTTCTACCCTTAAGCCAGTCCAGCCTACTCTAACATGCCAGGAGCTTTCCTGCCTCCTTTCCTTTGCTAATCTGTTCCTTTAGTCCTTCTTCTACTCCCTACCAATTAAAATACATCAAGCCCAGCTCAAAGGCTACCCCTGACCCATGAAGCTTTCCCTAGTCCTCAATAATTAACTGTTACTCTGACCCCCACAAAGGACCTGACCTGAAGCTCTATTTAACCTGTATTTCATGCGGCCTCATGTCAGTTAGCTGTTAACTTGTCTGTCTTCCCCACTAGACTAAGCTCCCTGAGAGCAGGGCCCATGTCGTGTTCATTTCTGTATCCCCCACAGTGCCTGACCCATTGGGGATACTCAGCAAAGTCTGGGTGAACTTTCTGTATTCATCTTTCTGCAAAGGAAGGAGCAGTAAGCTAATCTGAATTCACTGCAGGCAAGGCTTCAATTAACTCCACTTTCTGAGAGAGGGAAGTGGGCGGGGATGAGGAAGGGTGCGGAAGAAGGGAAGTCCAGGACCCAGGGAGGAGGACACCGGGCAAATTTACAGGCGCTCCCTTTCGCGGACAGCCAGGTGCAGCTCCTCCTGCTGCTCCTCCTTCTCCCCCTGGGCAGAGTCCCCCTGCAGCTGAAGCTCCACATTTGCCCTTCGCAGTCGCCAGGCCTCTTGCTCCAGCACTTCCAGTTGCTGCTGCAGCCCTTCCCTGGCCTTCTCTAGGAGCTCTCGTTCCCTGGAAGAACAAGGAGCCAGAGATGAGCAGAGACCTTGGGACCCAAAATCCTTCCTAGAAGCAGACATCACAGGGTCAAAGGAAAGAGGTGCAGTTTCCTTTAAGCATCTCATCTTCCCTTTTGTGTGGGAAACCTTTTTTAGAATCACCAAGACCCAGCACCGCAAATGGGAAGGAACAAGCAGCACTCAAGGCCAGGCAGCCCTGAGTGGCCCTGGGTGGCAGGGAGAACAGGGTCACCAACCAAAAGCATGATGGAAGTGGATAAATGGCTGCAGGAGGACTGACAGCACGGCTGGAAAGATGGAGGAACCACCTGCTGCTCACTTGCTGAGTGAGTTCACCTCTCCCTGGAGGTCCACCGTCTGCCCTGCCAGGGCATCCCGCTCCCCAGTGAGCCTCTGCAGCCGCTGTCGCAAGGCCTCACCCTCTTCCTCCCACTGGTCATGCTGCCGCTGCAAGAGGTTCACAGCTTCCTGACAGCCGGAAAGCTGCTGCCTTAGGTCCTGTGGAGGAAGAGTCGCAGAAACGGGATGATGTGCTGCAGGGCAAGGGCAAAGAAGGGATGCCACAAGCCCCAGTGCAGGGCTGGGCAAGGGGCTGGTATAGCAAGGGTAAGCTGAGAAGAGATGTGACCAGTTGAGGAAACAGAGGATGAGAGGTCACTGGGCTTCTGCGGCTCCTACAGTCTTAAAGAGTTTATGATCTGCAAATGTTTTGTGACTTGAGGGCTCTGGGAAAGCACAGAGGTACAGTGGCATGGGGGAAAGTAGTGCTGTGATCCTCAGAGTCTCCTAGGGCTCCAGTTGCCAATGTTTGCATAGTGCTATGCGGAGTGTGCCACTGGCATGGAGAATGTGTCTGCTATCCACAAATACAATTGGGCAGACACCGAGAGATTCTAATGAGCACTCTGGAGTGTTAACCAAGCACCTCATGATTGGTCAACAAAGTGAAAGGGGCAATCCAGGCTGGGGGGTACCTGGGGCACAAATCAGTTTAGATACTTACTCTTGTGGCTGAGGAGGAATGCTGAGAATTCTCACCTGCACGGCCTGGCGTCTCCGGGTCAGCACTGAACGCACAAGAGTAAGAGCCTTGTCTGGGTCCTGGGTGTCAAGCTGGGAGAAGAAGCTACTAGAATCCAACTCCAAGGAGCTCTCATGACCGCAGGCTTTGGCCATATTGTCCCCTTCTTCCATCATGGCCTGAAACCCAACACAGGGCATCACTACCCTACTGACTAAGACCTAGGGTCTGTACAGACGACTTACTCTATAACCTGGACACACATGATGTTTTCCTTCTCAACTCCTCTCCCCAGGGAGTAGGACATAGGTGGCTAAGGGCAAAAAAGGCTGGTTCCTTCAACTCTCCACCTTTGGTCCCCCAAACCTAGGACTAGCAACAGGGCTACAACACTCCTTGATGTAATCACAAATGAAATAAGGAAGGAAGAGGAGGCTAGTGAGGTAATGGAGGCCAGAAGCCAGCATCTGGCCTGAGAACTGCAGCTGGCAACAGGAAAGAGGGCCTGTCTAGACATGAATGCTTAGCTACCCCTCCCTTAGGGTTTCAGTCTTCAAATACACTCAGAGAACTCAGCCCTATAAGGCCCTAAACCCAAATACCTGCAGAGAGTGGAAATCTAGGCATGACTGAGAAGAGAGTAGTGAGGCATAAACTAGTTACCATGAACAAGAGGCTCACCAGTACCTGGGTTATATCCTTGATCACCTGCTGTAAAGAAAGCTTCTCCTCTTGGGCATTCCTACTAAGAGATGTCTCATGTTCCATTAATTCTGCATGATTTGTCTCCTGAACAGGGAACAAAGCAGAGCCTATGAGCCAAACTCTCAGAAGAGAATTTATAATCTCTGGTCCCACATCAACCAAAGTTTCATTCTGTCTATTCTGTCAACCTACTTTTTCCCTGACCACACATGAACCCTAATGGTGTCCCTCAAGAGTCTGAAGACAATGCAATGCAGTGATTAAAGAGTTCAGATTAAATGATTAAGATCTCCAAATTAGATTGCCTAGATTCCAGCTCTCTTGCTTACTAGCTTGGTGACTCTAGACAACTGCTTCTTCGAGCCTTTGTTTCCTTGTCTTTAAAATAGAAATAATTAACAGCAACTACTTCATAGATTTGTTTTGAGGTCTGAATCAAAAAAATGCATTGAAATCACTCACACAGTACCTGGCACAAAGCAAATGCTCAATAAATGAGTTATTATTGGATGGGGAGATGGCTGCTACCTCTGCACAGCAAATTGATGCTCAAGACCTAAGAATAAACCAGAGAAACCTCTGGGGCCAAAGCCAGACATAACTTTGAAGACTCAAGATTTCCTCCCTTCCTATTTATATTTGTGTTGGTGAAGGCCTGAGGACATAGGGTAGCACAAAAGGCCCACTCAGGCCTGCAGCTATGTTTGTTCAGTCTATACAAAATCTAAGGAGCCCTGCTGGTACAGCAGGTAAGCAGTGGGCCACTAACTGAAAGGAGAAAGACCTTCGCAGGAGAAAGACATGGAGATCTGTTTTCATAAAGATTACTGCCAAGAAAATCCTATGCGGCAGTTCTGCTCTGTCAAATGGGGTTGCTATGAGTTGGAATGACTCAATGGCATCCAGCAATAACAACATACAAAATCTGATGCAACATTTAAAAATTGAGATAATTCGCATTAAAAAAATCTGAATTTCTCCTCCCATCTTGACCTCAGGACCCAGCTTCTCTCAATATCTTAACAAGTGGACTACACCCAGCCCGTATTCCTACATGGCAACAATTTACACAAGTTGCACAGTGGATGTCCCCTTTAAATGAGACAAGAATTCTTAGCTTCCTACAGTCCCTACCACTCCTCAGTGTTTTCTTAATACTGACATCAAGTGTCCCCTGTAGTACTGAACATTAAATATGACAGCACTAGAAAACTAGAATTCTTCCAGCTGAACCCACTTCACTCCTTTATATTATCTGGGCCCTATAGACATTTGAGTTTGCAAATTCCTGCCCCAAACAAACCAAACAGGCATAAACAATTCCGGCTCCCAGCTGACCCTAGCTTGGATAAGAAGATTAGGGGGCTGTGTATGGATAGGGGTTCAGGATCCACCTAAATTCAGAGATTTGAAATTTCTTAGTGATAAAGGAAACTTGAAATCAAGACAGAGGGTCTAACATCCAGTTTTAGAAAATCCCTTGGACAACATCCCTGGCAGATGTTAAGCCAGTGACATAAACCTCACTCATTCACAAGACAGAGTGTTCAACTACTGAACAGCTCTAGCTATTAGCCAAAATCTGCCACCCTGTAACTTCTAGCCATTGATGTTGGTTTTGCCCACTTAGAAAACAATAAAAAAGGCCTCTCTCTTTCAGATATGTGAAGGCAGCCATCATGTCTTCAAGTCCTTTCTTCTCCAGGCTAAACACTGCCATATCCCTCAGTTTCTAATATGACAAGGTTCTGAATCTCTCTGCACATTCCTGGTGACTCACAGATTGCCCGTGTGCTTCTTAATGTGTGTGCCACTTCTCTCTGATAAGGACACAGTACACGCATACACACATACATAGGGATATGGTAGCGATAGCAGACAGTAATGTTTATTGGATGAATAAATGAATGAGTTAATTAACTTACAGATTCAGTCACAATTAACTTTTTTACTTCAGAGGATTTCACAGAGGAACATTTAACTGGTGCCCTCCACTACCTGTCCATAAAGGACAAGGGACATACAAGCCCCTTCCCAATTCCTTTCTAGAACAAATGAGCATGTACCAGGATCTCCATGGTCTCTCTCAGAGCCTTTACCATCTTTTCATACTCTTCATTCTGCTTCTGGGACTGGGTCAGCAGAGCAGAGAGCTCGGTTACCCTAAAGAGAAGAGCACAGCACTGTCACCTGGGCCACCCACTGCTGTGGACAGAGCTACTATGCAGCACACCCCAACCCCAACACAGATGCTCCCCCTGCAGCCTCCCCAGAGTCCCCTGGGTGCCCCCAGCCCCGCTGCACTCCCTGCACACCACATGATGCTATAGCCTTGAATAGGGGGGAAGCCAAAAGCCACTCAGAACACATGCAGGGATTTACCACATCTCAAGGCTGGAACACATGTTTGGGGGCCCAAGAGCTGAAGGGAAGCCCTGGCCCAGGCCCTTCCAGGCCTCGCTTGATCTTGAAGTCAATAAGAACATCAGAATTGCCACATGGGATAGTCCCAAGGTCCCTCCAGCCCAAGATTCTGACTCTGATAAGGGAAAAGGAGGGACATTTGGGGGGAGATTATGGTCCACTTCCCTGAAATTAACCTCCAAGTTCATGGACATCGCCAAATATCTTTATCACTTAATGCTGTATCTTGGAGCTCAATGCCTAGTATTACATATTTATTGAATGAGCATCATTTTTTTTTTAAAGTTTTAATATTTTTATCCTATACCAGCTCTAAGAGCCTTAACTCACTGGATGGTCATTCAATTATTGTATCATTCAACAAACATTTATTGAGTGTCTATTATATGGCAGGTGAAGTGCAAAGCACTAGAAACACAAAACTTACTAAGACATGGCCTTTGCCTGTGTATGTCTCAGTGACTCCATGACCAAAAAACAAAACAAAACCCCTGCAATTTATGTACACTGCCAGCAGGTGGTGACACAGCCCTCGTCATGGGGTATAAACTCAACTTTGGCCAGAGATTCAAATGGGACTCTACTTAGGTACCTTCCTGTCTTCTTACCATTTTTTAAAAATTTATTTTATTATAAGGAGCCCTGGTGGTACAATGCTTAAGTGCTCAGTTGCTAACTGAAAGGTCAGCAATACAAAACCACCAGCAGCTTTGCGGGAGAAAAGACCTGGTGATCTGCTCCCATAAAGATTACAGCCTAGGAAACCCTATGGGGGGGCAGTTTTACTCTCCTATAGGGTCACTATGAGTCAGAATCGACTTGATGGCACACAACAACAACAGCATTTTATCATAATTCAAAAATAAAAACAGCCTAAACAAAAAAAGAGGACCCGGGGACTAAATATTCAATAAGATACAATGTGATCAATGCTGTAACAAACAGGATGAAAGACCACAGGGGCACAGTAATGTAATACATTAGTTCTGCCTACAGAGGTCAGAGGCTTCATAGATGAGGTGGCATTTGAACTATGCCTTAAAGGATAAGGCAGAGAGAAAGGAGGGGGGCATTCCAGGTTAAGGTCAGCATGTACAAAGGCAGGGAAGCATGGAAGAGGGGATGGTAAGCAGTTTGGTGTCGAAAGAACACAGAGGCATAGCTGGCTCTATAATACGAGAGGAAACAAGCTGCAGGATAGTCTGAGGGCAGAGGCCAGTGACATGCCCCAACTGTGGCATCAGGTTTCAAACTAGACTCCCTCTGGCATATTTCCCTTCCCCTCTCATGGTAGGAATGCTCTTGGCATCTCCCCTGCCTATACCTGAATCCCCGAGGGAGTCAGCTTGCTCTCAGTGAGCTCCTCCTAGAACCCCTCTCACCGGTCCTGAAGCTCGGCCTTCTCCAGATCTCCTTGACTCTTCAGGTGTATTAACTCCTGGCTCTTTTCGTGCGCTTCCTTCTCCAGCTCCTGGGTCTTGGCTAATAGCAGCAGCAGCTGGGCTGGCTCACTCCCGTCCAGTCTCCCAGATCCATCGGATTCCCGAGACTGTGTTCCCATAGTCAAGCGCAGACAAGAGGTCAACAGTGACCCTGAAAGCCTCATGTGCTCAGCCTTTAGCTCCGTCAGATCTCTGAGTACAGACAAGGAAAACAGCAGACTCCAAAAGGGACCAGGGAAGGGAACATGGAGGTCAGGCCCAATGAGACCTGAAGAGTCTGTCTGGGAAAAATCATCTGAATCCAAAAACCACCAGTTGCCATCTAGGCATTTCTGACTCATGACAACCCCATGTGTGTCAGAGTAGAACTGGGCTTCACAAGGTTTTCAATGGCTGATTTTTTAGAAGTAGATTGCCAGGCTTTTCTTCTGAGGCATCTCTGGGTAGACTCAAACCTCCAACCTTTTGGTTAGCAGCTGAGTGTGTTAACCTTTTACACTACCCAGGGACTCCCAGTTACCAATCAAGTACCCCAAATAAAGCCAATCTCCCTACTGTCCTCCTTATACCATGTCTTCCCAACAACTCTTCCCTCTCCCCTCCCCACCGCCCTGATGCCCCCTTCTAGAGCAGCCCGCCATCGTAAGTCCAGAACTGGTAGGCGCAAACTCCCTCCCTTCTTATCCCCACACTGACCTGTCAGTGGCTGACTTCATTTCCAGGAAGTGGCGTCGAAAGGTCACCACCTGCCTCCATAGGCTGAGAAGGCGACCATGCTCCCCTTTCAAGTAGCCCTTGAAGAACTGTGTGTTCAGAAACCCAGGTCATACCAAAGGGCAGAGGACTATCTTTTGCCGACAAAGGAATGTTGGATTCCTCCTGACTACTGGGGCAGGGGGCAGGTACTTACAGGAGATAATTGCGAATGGCAGTTTATATTCATGTTATGTTGAAGGGTTTAATAAAGTTGGCAGTGAGAGTCAAGGGGTCAAAAGACCTGGGATGGGAATATGGCCTACTTGTCAGCTAGATCAGAAAAGAAAATTTCTCCCCAAAGATGTCAGGAGATGCCATCATTCACAGGCACTCTTATCTTGAACACAAGGAATTCTAGGCAGTGCCATTAGTATGTTGCAATTGTGTCTTCTGAGAACAATCACCACAACAAAACCACATCTTTTGATGTGCTATGACATCACCTGGGCTATAAAACATTGGAAGCCACACAGTGTGAACTATTTTCTAAGTAGAACTTTAGTAAAGAAAACAGATATATATACATATAAAGTGTGCGCATGCGCGCGCACTCACACACAAGAGCCCTGGTGGCACAGTGGTTAAAGCGCTCACCTACTAACCAAAAGGTCAGCAGTTCGAACCCATCAGCCACTCCATGGGAGAAGATGTAGCAGTCTGCCCCCGTAAAGATTACAGCCTTGGAAACCCTACAGGGCAGTTCTACTCTGTACTACAGGGTTGCTATGAGTGGGAATCAACTCAACGGCCCATAACAACAATAACAACATGCATATATAATGCACGTGTGTGTACACATATATATACACACACACAAACACATGGACATGCAAATATGCATAGGAAAAAAGACTAGAAAACTATATACTAAAACGTTACCATTAGTTACCTTCAGATGGTGAGATTATGGATGATTTTTATTTTATTCTTTATTCCTTACTATATCTTTCAAATTCTTTATAATAACACATATTACTTTCATCATGGTGGGGCACAAAGGAAATACTTGCACATGCTTCCACCTATTTCCTTTCAGAACCGTAGGACGGCTTATTTGCTTCCTCAGGAGGCTAGGATCTCAGGGGCAGTGTTGCATAGTAGCGAGCGCCAGACACATCTGTGCTGGACTCCAGGCTCTGCCACTTTTTAGTTGAGTGACTTAAGGCACTAACTTCTTAGTCTCAGTTTCCTCAACTATGAAATAAAGATAACAACTTCTACACCTCCTAAGGTCATGTGAAGATAATATATACAACAAATGTCAGGGGCTATGCACAGTACCTTACACACACTAGCTGCGCAAGAATTGGGAGCTAGTACCATTATTATCATAGATTTATAATGTGGATTAAGTGATATAACCTATGTAAATCACCTAGCATGATACCTGGCACAGAGCAAAGACTCAGGAAACATTAGTTTCCTTCAAATGGGATCTAAAAATTTCCCAGGGCCCATATCTGGTCTTTCTTCCCCCTGCAGACCTCCAGACTAGGGGTGTCAGTAAGTTTTTAGAACTATCAAACCTAAACTAGTCACTTTTGCAGGAACAGACTTGCTTTGAGTATCATGCATCTGCCAGCAAAACCTAGACTAGGCAGGTAAGGGCAGAACTAAGCTGAGGGCCCAGGAGGTCAGAGCTGCCTGCATGGGTTGTGGCAGTTCAGTTTCCACCCAAGCCCTGAAGTTAATCCCTTCCAGCACTACCAGGGCAGTGCCCAGAGTGCACAGCCCTCTTCTTGCATTCTAGCTTCTATTACTCCTACCTCCTGCTCCATCTGCCACTGGCTCTCCTTCCTCATTAGCTCGTCCCGGGCTCGGCTCCAGTCCACTGTCAATTTTTCCACATCTTCCCGAAGGGCTTTATTCACCACGTCAGCTTTTTCCATGTGTAGCCGAAGCTGGGTGTTCACCTCTGCTAGATTCTCACACCTGCACTGGGGAGGGGTGGGAGCAAGTACAAAATAAAAGTCTGGCTCAACCCTTGGATCTCTTGGAGTAAGATGACAACCACTGGAATTTTCCACTGGCAGGAATTAGAGGCTAAGGCTGAAGTCCATGGTTCTACTCCCCATGTTAGCCTTCAGGACAGAGGCTTCCCATCAGCCTTGTTCACCCACTGGCCAATCACCCAGCCCAGGGAATTTGGGGTCCATCACCTCTGTTGCTCGTCCTCCAATCGGATTAGCAGCTGTTCCAGGTTTGACTCCTCCATGCTTTCCCACCTCTGAGGGATCGGTCCCTGGCCAGACAGAGACAAGCTTTATTTACTTCCTAAAAGAACATCACTCAGACTAACTCCCTCATGCCCCTTCAACACCAGCATACTTTCTTTTTATTCCCTCTCCCCTTTGTAAGCAATATTCTTTTCTCAGTCACTGAATGCCGAAAGTAAATCCACTGCATTTCTCTTTCTCAAAGTGAACCAGTGACCCCTTTTGAAAGATGGCATTTGGTAGTGAAAAGAACCTTCAACTTAAGAATCATTATCTCTTTCACTAATGTCCTTGACTTCCATTACACTAACTTTTGGACCCTGGAAAATTACTTAACTTTTCCGGGTCACAGTATCTTCAGCTACAAAATGAAGGTGACAGCATGTCCCTCACAAAGCTGCTTTGTAGATTAAGTGAAATACTTATATGACGATGCCTAACGATGCCTGGCCTACACATAGGAGATGCTCAGTAAGTGTTGGTTTTTTTCCTTCCTCTGAGAGAACTTTCCTGAGGGAAATGGGAGAAGGTGCAGAGAGGGAGCTGGAACAGAGACAAAAACTGGGTTTTTCAAAGCCGGTTGTACCCAGTTAACAGCAGCAATAAATCACAAACATGTTTTTCAAGCCCACAAAGAAACACATTTCTCTAAGACAGATAAACACTGACACCTGCTGGAGGAAAAATGCATTTCTTCCCTCTAATTCCACACTTTTCCCAATATAAGTCCCTGGGTGGTGCAAATGGTTGACGAGCTTAGCTGCTAACCAAAAGATTAGTGGTTTGAGTCTACCCAGAGGAGCCTTGGAAGAAAGGTCTGGTGATCTGCTTCTGAAAAATCATCCACTGAAAACCCTACGGAGCACAGCTCTACTCTGACACACGAGGTTGCCATGAGATGGAATCAACTCGACGGCAACTGTTTTTTTCCCATTTGATTAAGTTTCCTGAAGCTGAATTTCATCCTTAGAGAGCAAAGGGTTGGAATCTGATGGGTTGAGAATAGCTAGGTCCACTGAAGATATCTGGGTGATAAAGCTCTCCAGGACTGAAGAGAGAGTGACTTCCACCTAACTCCCCCTTATCCAACCCCAGCCTCCCTCAGTCAGCAAATGAAGCCTAAAAAGGATATTCACTTAGGTCTCATGGGGAGCACAGAACTCAACCTCACTCACCCCAGTGGCTTCTAGCCGCTTCTCCAGCTCTTGGCACCAGTTCCGGTACTGCAACACCTATGGAAATAGAGCAAGTCCTGGGTAACAGGCACAGCTGGCACAGTCCAAACCAAAGAAACCCACCTCCATCACCCTTCCCCCAGGATCTTGGGTGAACCTGTTGTATATAGGGGAACTGGGTGATGAGAGTGAGGAAAGGCCATAGCATCTTATAGTTTCTACTTGGCATTTAAATAATACTTCTAAATGCCTCTTATATAGGCTTTGGAACCAGAATACCTAGGGTCAGGTCTTACATCTAGACTAGGAGAGCGCATGTGAACAACTAACTTAACCCTTGAAGACTCATCTTTAAAAGGGACATAATACATAGCTCATGGGGCAGTTGTGGGCATCAAAGGAGAGGCTGTGTATAAAGCTGGAAGGTCTGGCTTCCTCATTTCACCAAGCTAGGTCTGGGCCATTCCCATTACATGGTTCTGCCTCCTGCAAGCTTTATCCCAATGTGGCACCCAGCTCCACGGGGCACTTTTCTCTTTTCCCCTCCCAGAAAAGGCAGCTGCCTCACCTTGGCCTGCAGCTTCCTCACAAGGGATGCTTGCCTCTGCTGGGCCTCCTGGGAGCTCTTCAGCTTTCGCCAGGAGGCTGCCTGGTTCTCTGCCATCTGCTGCTGTAGTGCCAGCACTTGCCCCTCCAGCACCAGCTGCAGTGACTGGGGCTTCATGTTGTTCAACCCAGGGCCTCCTGTCTCCATGGGCACCAGACAGTAAGGCCACAGGCCCCTAGGCAGCCAGAGGCTGTACACTCCCAGCAGGGTTTCTGACCATTGCTGTGCCACTTCGACCTCCTTTTGAGCTGGGGACCAAAGCACATGATGGAGTTGAATGGACTATCTAAATCACTCAGATTTATTCAAAAAGCGCTCATTAAACCTGGCAAAGCTGGGTTAGAGAAAGTAAACAGGCTCCTTTACTACAGGACTTCTCAGAAGCTTTAAAATACTCATACTTTTTAATATGGATCCTAATCTCTAAGGGAGTCCTGGGTGATGCAAACAGTTAACATGCTCAGCTGCTAACTGAAAGGCTGGAGATTCGAGTCCACCCAGAGGCACTTCAGAAGAAAAGCCTGGTGATCTACTTCCAAAAAACCAGCCAACAACTGGTTTACTGGTAATCTCTAAGAGCGGGCAATGATGCATAGCATTTCCCAAATTTATTTGACCATGAGACAAGCTCCGCACTAGACCAAGAGCTCCTGGTTCACCACTGAATCCCTAGTGCCTAGCACAGTCCCAAATGAACATTTATCAAATGAAGCACTGAAGGTACTCTTAGTCTAGCAGGGGAGATAGATACAATCACAGAACAATGTGGTATGTGCAAAAATAATAGAGGCATCACAGAATAATATGAGAACACTAAGGAAGTGCAAAGAAGCCCTGGTGGCGCAGTGGTTAAAGCACTCGGCTGCTAACCAAAAGGTTGGCGGTTTGAATCCACTAGCCACTCTGTGGGAGAAAGATGTGGCAGTCTGCTTCCATAAAGATTACAGCCTTGGAAACCCTATAGGGCAGTTCTACTCCGTTCTATAGCTTCCCGATGAGTCGGAATCGACTCAACGGCAACAGGGAAGGAAGAGCACTTAGCTCAGTCTCGGGGGCTGTGAGCTGTGTGAATCATCATCATCATCAAAGTTAATACTTGCTGAGTGCTTCTATGGGTCAGTCACTTTGTTAAGTGCTTATATGCATTATGTCATTTAGTCAGCACAAAAATCTTGAAATCTTCCAATGCCTTTCCATCACACTTCAGGGTATTATAACTCTTGATGTATAGATGAGGAAATAGGCTTAGGAGGGCTAAGCAACTTGTCCCAGGTCACATGCTGGTATTTGGTAGATTGGGGATTTGAACACAATAGTCTGACTCTGAGAAAGAAAAGGGATGGCAGGCATTCCAGACAGGGGACTCAAATGAGAGGTAAGAAAGAACCCACTGCAGCAGGATGACAAACCCTCGTCACCTGCCAAGAGCTGAGCCACACAGGACAGTGGGCCACAGGCAGGCAGGGGAAGCCAGCCGAACCTGGGAGAGGGGGATGAACAGTGGTAAGGAAGAATTTTGGGTGTTCGTCCAAGCCCTGCCTCTAATGTGCTCTGTGACCTCAGGTATGTCACTTGCCTTCCATGCCTCATCCAAAAATGAGGGCGTCCAGCTACATGACCTCTGAGTCTCTCAAGTCTCTAAATCCCATGGTAATCCTATAATAACAATGTCGGGGGGGGAGGAGGAACAAGACAGGTTAGAGCTCTCTCATTTTATTAGCCCTGAGACTCCCACCAGCAGGGTTAAATAATGTCTATATTTCCAACCACCTACCAAGAGACTGCTGTATACAGAAAATGCAAATCTAACATTTGCACACACACAGGGAGTTTCAGGGGCCCCAAATCCCTTTAATGCACAAAACTGTTGATCTCCTACATTCTGGCTCAAATGCTACTTCCTATGATGCTCTCCCAGATGTATTCAGGAAGAGTTAATCACTTTTATAGCTGATTTTAATACATATTCTATATTCCATTTTATCATTATTTGTCTAATTTCTCTACTAATCTGTGAGTGCCTCAAATGTAGGGGCTGTCTAACTCATTTTAGTCTTTAGTACCTCGTCAACAATGCAGAACGAAGAGATGTGTGTGGGTCTCACTCCTGACATACATAAACTGTTGGCCAGAGGTTACAAATCAGTGGCCTGTGGGCTCTTTTCAACTATTGCGTGGTATGCACAGTGGCTTTTAAAAATTCAAATTAAGTGCCAACATTTACTATTGGCAGAATGCATATAAAAATCCAAATTTCTGGCTCGAGAGGCCCCCCACTGCCTATTCTCTCCCTCACATTGATACCAGATTCTCATTATCCTTTATCGTTGCACTTGTGCTGTTGTTTTCTTCTAAGAGTTACAGAGGAAACCTCATTTTATTCATTTACATTATCTGCTGGGCAAATGAAGATGGCTGAGTTCGCAGAGCCTGTATTAAGCAGTAGGGAAAGTGCATAAAGTAGGAAGAGGAGAGTGACGCCAATATGGGCTTGATGGCACCAACACCCAAACTGCCTCTTCCTAGTCTATAATCCAGGGTAATACAGCCTTCCCCCTTACTCCAAACATTCTCCTTTTCTGTCCTTCCCTTCCACCGAGGCTGTGTCAACCAACTCACCATGGCTCTGTGAAATGCTGGCTCTGCTGAATTAAATGGAACTCAATCCCTGTCTGCCAGCTAGGACAAACCTCCCAGGAAACTGCTCTCTATCCCAGGATTTCTGCCAACACACTACCAACAATAAGTGTAGATCTTGAGTTGCTCCAAGGGAGGTATGGAGCCTTTTCTCTCCTAACCCTGTGTGAGTTGGGCCAGGCTTTTGCATACACAGTGGGAGTTTCAGGGGTCCAAACGCCCCCTCAAGGGGCGCTGGTGGTGCAATGGTTAAACGCTTGGCTGCTAACCAAAACGTTGGCTGTTCAAACCCACCCAGTGGCTTCACAGGAAAAAGACCTGCAAATCTACTCCCATAAAGATTACACAGGGTTGCTATGAGTCAGAATGGACTCAATGGCACCTAACAACAACAAAGGCCCCCTCCCTCTCCACTGAATTCTTACTCCCAAATATTAGGCTGAACCACACAAAACTGCCAACATTCACCCACACTTTCACCTACAGAAATGTGAATTTCATGTAGTTAGTTCAACCTAATATCTCCACAAGCAGCCCTGCTGCAGTTCCCAGAATTCTCACATCAAATCCTCTTTTAGAATAAGGCTGCTGTTAATGTGCAAGTATTATTTGGGAAGGTGATATTAAATTAGTAATACTTTAGCAGAAAAACAGAATTATATGATTATTTTACTTCAGCAGATAACTTAAAAAATTGAGTTATTAGAAAATTATTCCAATCCTCTCATTTTAAGGAAACAGAAACCTACATAGATGAACTAACTTCATTTTGTTCATATATTATATATATGCACCACCTATTTCAAAAAATGACTTGAAATTGTAACAAATGTACCATACTAATGTAAGATGTTAATAAAGGGGAAAGCTGAGAGCAGGGTATATGGAAACTCTATATGATGTAAATCTAAAACTATTCTAAAAAACAAGCTTATTTTAAAAATCGATTTGAAGTATTTTATGATTGTTGTTGTTGTTAGGTGTCGTAGAATCAATTTTCAACTCATGGCGACCCCATGTGATAGAGGAGAACTGCCCTGTAGGGTTTTCTAGGCTGTATTCTATATGGAAGCAAATCACCAGGCCTCTCTCCCGCAGAGCTGCTGGATGGGTATGAACCACCCACCTTTAGATTAGCAGCCAAGCGCTTAATCCTTGCACTACCAGGGCTCCTTGTTTTATGATTAAAACCTCCAAGAATTCCCATAAACTGTAAAACTGAAAATTCACTAAGACAAGAATAAAAAAGGAGGGGACAGAGAAAAATCATATCAAGAATCCTTCTGAAACTGAGATTCAGCTCTGAGCTTCCTCAAGATGCAGCTCTGTATAACCAAAATGTTGGCAGTTCGAATCCACCCGTGGCTTCTTGGAAACCCTATGGGGCAGTTCTACTCTGTCCTATAGGGTCGCTATGAGTCAGTATTGACTCGATGGCAACAAATCTGGTTTTTTTTATGAGTCAGATCCACCAGGAATAAACTAGCAGAGCTCCAAAAGAAAAGCAGGTTTCTATGTTCCTCAGAAAAGAAAAAGGCTAGTAGCTGGCAAACGGTTAACAGAGACTGGGTTGTATTCAAATGAGATGACGGGTGTCAGTGTACTTTGCACACTGTACTGAAAAGATGTTATCATCACTGCAGGAAAAGGGAAAAGATTCATTTCTTTTATACACGAATTTATCCTATGAACACTCAAGAAGTCCAACCCAGTATCAGGCACTCCGCCATAGTAGTACTGAAATGAACAAGATCTACTTCCTAATTTTGCTGGAATCAGGCTGAGAAGGTCCAGACCTCTGCTAAAGACCAACAGCCACATAGAATAGGAAATGACAGAGGACTGATATAAATTATGCAGCTAATCCCCCCATCCAAAATACTTCAAAAGGAGTACTATCTAAATAAAAAGTATTCAAAGTTAAAAATAGAAGTGACATCACCTAAACTTGGAGTAGAGGCATAAAGGTTACGAGGCCCAAGGCACGGACAGGTATTACTAAATATAATTTGTCACTTGAAGCAAAAAAGAAAAAAAAAAAAATTCAAAGGCAGACATTTTATTCTGAGCAAAAAAACTATATACATATTTGTCTGTAGAAATAATTTGTTTGAATCTTATTCTGTAAAAAAAAAATTAGCATGCAGCTCCTTATGCAAATCTCCCACCCTTCCTTTGAAGCTCTGCTAGTTTATTCCCCGGTGTATCGGACAGCTTGTTAATAAAAGAGACCTCCACTTGGGATTCTTTCCTGGCTCCTCATCATCTCCTCAACATCTAAATGTTGGGGGCCCCAGGGCTCAGCTATTATACTTCTCCTCTCCATCTACATTCATTTTCTAGGAAATCTCACCCAGTTTCATGACTTAAGACAGCATCTATACATCGCCTCCCTCTGAACTCCACATTCCTATGTTGTTGTTTGGTGCTGTCGGGTCTATTACGACTCATAGTGACCCCTTGTGACTGAACAGAAGTGACCCATAGGATTTTCTTGGCAGTGATCTTTATGAAAGCAGTGTTAGGTCTTTCTCTTGGGAAGCTGCTGAGTGGCTTCAAACTGACAACCTTTCGGTTTGCAGCTGAGCACTTAACCACCGCGCCACCAGAGCTCCTTCACATTCCTATACTAAATCCAAATATCTATTTAACTTCTCCACTTAGGTGTCTAAATGGCATTTGAAGGTTAATTTATCCAAAAGCGAACCCCTACTCCTACAATCTTCCCTATTTGAGTAAATGGCAACTCCATCTTTCTGGCTGCTCAAGCCAAAAGCCTTACAGTCATTCTATTCTCCCACACCCTATAACCAATCCATCAGCAAATCTCCTGATGGATCTACCTTCAAATATTCCAAGATCCTATCACTTTTCAATCCCTTACCACCACCATTCTAAGCCAAGCCACTTTATCTTGCCTGGTATGGAGGCTTTAAGGGATACCCACAATTCTTTGATATTCCTCCCTTTAAGAGGTGCATCCTAATTCTCTCTCCTTAACCTTAATCCTAGGTGGTACAAATGGTTAACATACACACTGCTAACTGAAAGGTTGGTGGTTTGAGTCCACCCAGAGGCACCTTGGAAAAAAGGTGTGGTGATCTACATCTGAAAAATCAGTCATTGAAAACCCTATGGAGCACAGTTCTACTGTGACACACACAGGGTCACTATGAGTCTGAATCGACTCAACGGCAACTGATCAGGTTTTAAAAATAAAGTGGAATGAAAAAGAAGAAAGTGGAAATGACTTTCAAGACAAGCTGATAAAAGGACTACTGCTCCCTGCTAACTCTCTCTCTCTCTTCCCTTCTCTCTGATCACTTGCCCTGGGTGAAGCTGGCTGTCATATCCTCAGGACACTCAAGCATCCCTGTGAAGAGGCCCTGTGGCCAGGAACAGAGGCCTCCTGCCAACAGCCCTGTGGATGAGCCATCTTAGAAGCAGGTCCTCCGGCCCCAGCTGAAGCCTTCAGACCACCACAGCCCCAAGTGTCAGCTTGACTACAACTTCATGAGAAATCCTAAGCCAGAATCACCCAGCTAAACTGCTCCTGGAATACTGACCCACAGACACTGTATGAGATAATCAACGTTTGTTGTTTTAAGTTGCTCAGTTTTGGGGTAATTTCTTGAGCAGCAATAGCTAACATACCTGCATTACTTCAAAAGCTTCCTAACTGGTCTCTGTGTTTCTACCTTTGCTTCCTAATTTTCTGTTTCTCAACAGAACAGCCACAGTGATCCTTTCAGAACATAAGACAGATCTTGCTGCTCAGAACCCTCCAATGGTTACTCAAGAGTAAAAGCCAAAATCCTTATAATGGCCTAGACAGATAAACAAGATAGCT